TTTTATCTGTTAAAGTGCATTAGAGTTTTGTCCCTTCAAGCACCAGTAAGGCACAATTCCAGTAATTTTTTTGTAATGGGTAAACGTCCTCCAGGGATTTCTTATACCTCTGTCAAGTCCACTCTGCTGGGTATTAGCAGCAGTAATACCTTTTCCATTGATTTGTATCAGCGTCTCTGCCTGCAGCGAGTGTGGGTGAGCAAGGTACAAGATAACTTGACACAAAAATCCCTCTTGGTGTGCCAGCATCGTCGGTTACTGCCGTCAGCCAAGCAAAACAAACAGGTTATAGTACACTTGCATCATCACAGCAATGTATGCATTATAATAAACCTGGAAAATGTTCTTCAAGTACTGCTGCAAATCAACCTGTTTTCTGAATTGACGGCTGCTGACTGTAGATGTTGACTAAGCTGAGAGAAACACAACAGTGATTCTGTTTTTAAGGTTACCGATATGCAACAATTACAAAGGGTTAAACAACACTTGATCCAAATTGCCAAGGGTGCAATGTTGACATTGACTTTCAGTTACAAGCTAAGGGTGGAGTAGGCAAATAGAAGGAAAGACAAATACTTAACAACACCTATTGCGAGCTGAGCTGCAGCTACACCATAACTGGAATTCAACTGTGATTGCTCCCTCGCCATTTTAATCTGACCTGAGGGCTCAAAGAAGCTACTACACCAGTGACCTTCTTACATAAAACTGCAATTCACACGTGTATAGCACAAGAAAAACAGAGATATGTGGATCAAATTGCGATTAGAAAAGAGGCATCTAGAGCTTGGTTTTAAACTATGGGAGCCAAAATGGGTCATGTACTTTTTAACTTCAGTTTAACAAGCCTCGGGTCCCAATTGAGAGATTAACAAACTCTAGATTTATCTGTTGCATCAAGCCTCACAGGAAAAAAACAGACAAACTGATAACAAATAAATCACATAAACCTAAGCACATTAATCTAAAGTATTCTTACATTTGCATACTATCTGATGCAGTCTCGTGCGGTCAGGATTTACTTGGATTAATCACTTCTACATTCATCGACCATGACCTGTCACTGTGTTTGAATGATACAGCATGTGAGTCACTTAACAGAACTCCAAGACTCCAATTTCCAGGATTAAAAAGAGGCTTTTTTGGAATTTGACACCAAACAGTATAATTCATTTTATTTGGGAACCTAACATGGAATTTCCCAGGATGCTACAATCCTTTCCACATCAGGTATGGTCCAAACCACCATCACCTGCACTGATAGTACTCAGAGAGGCTTGTTACCTTAAACAATCAGTACAAAAGAAACAGCTGTAAAACTATGATGAAGGTTTCCTGAACATCACAAACATTGAAAAACAACTCTCATATTATATTCATATATTCAAAAGCAATCAAGAGCCATAGCCATGCATTATTTTCTCATCATTCATGCATTCACGCAGTCAGAAAAAGACACTATATGCATGTGAAATAAATAAATTTTTACTGACCAGTTTTTATCAGAATTATTATTATTTATTGGAGTTCCCCAAGGCTCGATACTTAAGCCTCTTTAATTTTACGTCTACATGCTTCTATCAAGCCTAACCATGAAGACACCCATCACAATCATGCAGATGACACCCAAGTGTACCTTACTACAGTCCAATAGATTTTCTGCACAAGTCAGTGGAAGTGCATGAGCTTCCTACAGCTAGGTAGGCAGGTAAAATGGGTGAAAGGCCCTCCAGCCCTCTTATGTAGGACCTCCAGATGGACAGTTTGTGTCACTCTAGGGTCAACTGTCATATCTTTCTTGTCAGTTTTTTGTCTTACTATATGGTTGGTTCGCGTCTCCGTGGTCATTGCAGTGGTCATTTGGCACCTCTTTATGGTCATTTAGCACATCCTTGTGGTCATCTTTTTTCTCATCTTGGTCATTTTTTGTCTATTTTTGGTCGCTTTGCATCTCTTTGCGTTAATTTTTTTGCGTTGTTGAAGTCATTTTGTGTTGCTTTCTCATCGGTTTGTCTCTTTGAGGTCATTTAGCATTTCTGTTTGGTCATTTTGTGTCTCTTTTTGGTCATTTTTAACTCTTTCTTGTCATTTTGTGATTTTTTTACGGTCATGTTATGTCTACCTGCTAATTTTGTGTTTATTTGTGGCCGTTTTGCATCTCTTTGCTGTAATTGTTCCGTCTTGTAGTTGTTTTGTGACCCTTTTGTGGTCATTTTGGGGTCTATTTGTGGTTGTTCTGCATCTCTGCGGTTATTTTGAGTCTCATTTTGCGTACCAATTTGGATGTTTTGCATCTCTTTCTGATAATTTTTCATCTTGTACTTGTTTTGTGTCACTTTGTGGTTGGATTGTTTCTTTGAGGAAGTTTTTTTAGTCTCTTTTTGGTAGTTGTATGTGTCTTTATGGTCAATTTAATCTCTTTTTGGTAATTTTGCATCTCTTCATGGTAATTTTTCATCTGTTCATGGCTTAGTCTTTTTCTACTCATTTTGCTTCTCTGTGGATCGTTTTGCATCAGTTTGTGGTCATTTAGCAGTCTTTAAACTGAGCGCCATGACTTTCAAACAATATGCCCAGTAGGCCTGTTTGGTAATCCATCCATGGTGATCTGTGTCCTGACCCCCCCCCCACACACACACACACACCCCACCCCCCCACCCAGCAGGGTGCCCGGGGACCGCCCTGTGCTTTCATGTTATTGGTCAGTGGGCAGCAACCCTGCTCCTTGGGTACCATGTCTGCTCCCTCCTCATCTGTGTGCGGATATGTTCCTCCCTGCTGAGCTCAATCAATCACACAACATTCACACTGCAACTGTGACCTACACTGACAGTTAATGCTTTGTGCAAATCAAACCAGCTGAGCAGCAAAAGCCCATCGAGTGAATGACTGAATACTGTACGCTGGCAGCCGAATACAACAAGCGACAAATTCCTGCTTCGGCTGTTTGAGTCAGAGCCAGTTAAAGCTCCCGGCTGCGTGTCGTGAATATACGTATAATAATTCCACCTCTTACCTGCCCACGGTTTGGTTGGCGAGCTGTCTCATTCGGTTGAACTGCTTCTTCATCTTGTGTTTTTCTGCGTTACCACCGGGCGGTAGAGCCACTCCACATATCTCATTGATAGAATAAAGTCAGATCTCCGCGCTGATCTATGGCAGACGAAGAGGTTCAGTCTTTAAACATCCAGTTTATGCATCGCGGCGGGGGAAACACGAACGGCGGCGACTGTCGGTGAGCTAATTCCTCCTCATTTTGCTGATGAGGACGGTGTGTCTCTGTCATCCGCTCCGCTCCGCTCCGCTGCTCCAAAGATGCTGGACCAATTCCTCTCTCTCTCCCCCAGCACTGACAGCTCGCTGGCGACACGACGCTCCCTGCAAATGCACCATGGGAAACGTAGTTTACATAGAGTTCTTCTTTACATTACCACATATTCATACTAAACTGCATTTATAGCTATCAAATTAATTCATCTTGAGAATTTTAGGTCAAGTTACACATGGTGGAATCAGATCACAAATTTTATTTTTATTTTTCATTTTCAAATATGTTTTATTGAGCCAAAGAAAATCACATACAGTGAATTGTCCTACCAGTGCTCTTTTTCATCATAGAAAAGGATTATAAAATTATATTAATAAACATTCACATGTACAAAAACACATGATATGACGGTATAAGGATTGTCCTTGTGACTTGGGACTTGAACATTATCCAAGGTGAACAAGTGAAAGAAAAACAAAATAAAGAAATAAAAAACAAATAAATGAGCACACAAATAAATAACAAAAATAAATGTTTAAGTGCTAAATAATAAATAAGGGAGAAAATATTAGATTGAATCTAAGAGTATAAGCACAACTCAGATGATGATGATGTAGATTATGTAGGAGTAGAAGTTTTCTGCTACATCCTGGACTACAAATGGCTGCTCAATGTATCATCAAACATCTGGATTAACTACAGGTTAGTTATCTGATGTGAAATGTCAGGTGTAATAGCATAATCATTCACCAAAAGGTCTATTTGTAGCTTGCAAAAAGGAAATGTCATTAATATCCATGAGGACTTTGTTTATTATCTGTATCGGCTTTATTGACAATTGAGGTGAATTTTCATTAACAGGTTCAGTCTCAATGACTCAATGGTTTCAAACTATGCCTTGATGGGTTGTGGTGTGGGTTTTGTTGCAATGATGTAGTTTGTGCAAGCAAACAGCATCATCTTGTGGCTGTGAGAGTCAAGTCTTGTAGTGCACTCCCAGTCCACACACACTATAGGACATCTAGAAAATACTGCTGCAGTGATGAAACAGCATTTTTCAGAACTTCTTATATAAAACCTTACAAACAAAGAACTTTGCATGTTCTCCCAAGATCTACTGATAAAAACTGTCACCAGTAACTCATCCTTCCTAAAAAAAAATATCTTAGGTCTTTTATGATTTTCCAGCCAGAAGAGGTCAGCAGAGATGAAGTACACTTTATCAAAAAGTTAGGCATTCAAATCATCACATAATTATTACCCTAATTAAAAACCATTTTGTGTGACATTTTGGTAATTTTGAATCTCTTAGAAGTGTCTTTTTTTGTCATTTTTTTGTCTCTCTATTGTAATTTTGCATCTCTGTAGTTGTTTTGTCTCTTTATTGTAATTTTGCATCTCTTTGTAGTTGTTTTGTCTCTTTATTGTCTTTTTATGTTCATTTGTTCAGTTTGTTATTATTTATGTGTCTCTTTATGGTAATTTTGCATCTCTTTGTGGTCATTTTGTGTCACTTTTTTGGTCGTTTTGTGTCTCTATGGTAATTTTACATCTTTTTGTGGTCATTTTGTGTATCTTTATGGTAACTTTGTATCTCTTTGTAGTTGTTTAGCCTGTCTTTGGGATCTTTTTCATTGTTTTTTCATTACATTTCCAGTATTAAAATGGTAAATAAACTGTAAAAGTCACAGATGGCGCCAACGAGTTCATGCTTGTGAGAAGCAGCAGAAGAAGAAGTATTGGAGTTTACTTGTTGAATGACATTAGTGCACAGATAACAGTTTTTACAGTTAGTTTCTCTGCTTGGGAACAACTCACCACAGTTCAGTGTATAGTCGCAGCCCCTCTGACCTCTGACTGTCTGCTTCACCGTGAAAGATGCGGGACCGGACTAAAGAATTAGGAAACGTGAGTTTGAAAGTAAGCGGCTAACGTTAGCATCAGCGCGCTAGCCTGCTAACTTAGCTAAGTTCACTCCTTGTGTCGAGTAACGCTCGTTAACCTCTTTGTTTCACCGCGACAGTTTTGACTAAGAGACTGAATCTAAATAAATGATTAGAATAATAATGTTTAACAGCTTTCTGCGTCTGAATGTTAACTTTAGCGACAGTTTATGTCCAGCTTCCGTTTCTCCTTAAATGAGCTGCCAGGCCGGGACAGGGCAGGGCTGTCGGAGTTTGTTGTGCTTAAGATGCAGAGAAAGCGACGACGTTAACGTTAGCGACAAATTCACGGGTGTCACGGAAATTAGATTGTTTTAAAGACTCTCCCTGTGAAGATGTTAAGACCCTTTGACGAGTCTAAGTACAATAGGGTTTTATGTGGACCTGGTCTGATATGGTCTCGGTGGAATGGAAGCAGTGAAATCTTCCTGTTTGTGTTTTATTAAAAGAAAACGGTTTCATGAATCTAAAATTGTGTTTTAAATAGTCTTTACACACTCTCTGTTGATTTAGTCCAGATCTGACAAGTGTTAAGCATAGCAGGATTTGATCCAGACCTGGTCTGATGTGGTCTAGGTGGGGAAAACACTGTGAGATTGTCATTTCAGTTTTCACAAATCTGAAACTGTGCTTTAAACAGGCTCTACCTGTTAATCAGTGTTTTTTTTTTGTTTGTTTTTTTTTTTTATCTAGACCTGGTCTGATGTGGTATGGATGGGATAAAAGCTGTAAAATCATAAATTTTTGTGTGTTTATTGGCCTCACAGATCTGAAACTCTGCTTTTAACATTTACTGGAGTCTTCTGTTAAATCAAGTCAAGGTTTGACAAATATAAATGTTTGGTTTTGAGCCAGATTGTTGTCTGAATCACCATTTATTTTGCTCTCATAAACTAAATGCTTCACAAATGTGAAAGTGTGTTTAAACAGTGTTCACTTTCACAATGAGTGTTGCAAAAAATGGAATCTGTGGCTCAATATTGAAAGTCAAGTTTCCCTTAAGTTTCCCCTTAACTGCTAAATCAGAAGTGAACATCAGCATCATAACAAATCACTATGTATTTTGTATTTATTTATTTCTTGTCAATGTGACCGCAGAATGCTGAGGCGTCGGATGACGATGATGAGGGCAAAGCTCTGATGATCAAACCTGGAACCTCTTCAGCCAAAGAGGAGAAGGAGAGCGAAGCCTTCTTCAAAAAGGTGAATTTACCCTCTAAACATCACCATTACTCAACTCACAGATCACCTGAGATTACATACTCTTGTCTTAAAGTTTCAAATCTTAGCATTGTCTTTCTGTAGCCAATTATTTTATGGAAAAAACCAAACAGCAAAGCCAAACATTACATTTGTGTGAAAGTGATAATATGCAGGGCTTAGGCAGAAAAAGTCACATGGACACAATCTTGTCTGATATGCTGCTGGTTTCTAAAATTTGTTTTGTCAACATTTCAGTCTCTGCTAATTCCAGTCTCCTTGCACTGGACTGTCACGAACAAAGACCCTGTGTTATTGCCTACTAGAGCTGAAATGATTAATCAATGAGTTGATCAATTTAGGCCAAAATGCCAAAAATTCACTTGTTCTGTCTGATCAAATGTGAATAGTTGATAGTTTCTCCTAATCCTCTATATAAGAAAATTATATATATTTGGTTTTGGATTATTGATCAGACAAAACAAGCAATTTGAAGACTACAGTTTGGGCTCTAGGACCTTTTAAAACCCAAATGAATCATTCATTAATTTAGAAAATAATCTGAGGATTAATCGTTAGTTGCAACCTTACATACTCTCATGTGCATCAAGATGGAATACTTCAAAGCTGTCTTCTGTTACAAAAGATATTGCACCTGTTCTAAAGGAAGAATTTATTTTAATTATTGATTAGTTTAAAAAATGTCAAAAAACACTAATAAATGTAAAAATTGTAATAGAAAGTTACCTGAGCCCTAAGTGTCACAGTTAAAAAATAATCAGTTCACAGTGATATAAAACAGCAAAATCACACATTTGAGAAGCTGGAATCATTTTTGCTTTATAGATTAATTAAATTATTCATCATCAATAATACACATTATTAAAATGGTTGTTTCATTTTCTGTGGATCAACTAATTAAATATTCAACTGCAATTGCAACTGTTAACTATGTCCCTGCCTTTAAGCAGCTAACTCTTCATGATTACGCTGTCAGGGTTATTTAACATTAAAAAAAACTAGTTTAGTACAACCTTGGCTACACGTTAATAGATTGTTCAACAGATTTAATTCTAACTAGAGTTAAGATTAAGGCTCCATAGAGTGAGATTTGTCTTTCTCATTCTGTAGGCGCAAGAAATTCATGAAGGACTGCAGAATCTCAGGAAGATGGTGTCTGATCTCGAGAACAAACAGAAAACTGTGCTCGGTGTGGCTCTGCCAGTGGAGAGTAAGTATGTTGACTTTAACCAACAGCTGGTCGAGATTTAGGGATTGATCCCACCCATTGATCCACTGAGAAGATTTGAAAGGGTCTTGGACAAGAATGAACTCGTATTTGAACTAGTTTATGTACAGTTTTAGTGAATGCCTGTCTACACAGAGAGCACTCACATCATCTCACACAGGCTAAATCTGCTGCTTCCCTCTTGGTTTAGGTATGAAGAAAGAGCTGCAGACTCTACGAGAGGAGATAAAAACATTGGCAGGCCAGATCCAGAGAAAACTGAAGAGTGAGTATTGATGAATAAGAAGTGAACACTGTGTTTATTTTTTTGGTTGTGTTCACTTGAAGTACACATCATCAATTCTCTCTCCACAGGTATTGAACCCAAGAAGGGAGAGGACGATGGAAAATACATACCCATAAATGTTCGGATGCAGCGCACACAGGTGGAGCCTTAGCTGTTTTTATGCCACAGCATCCTAGTTTGGGATATAACTTGGGATAAAACTTAAATTTCCACAAATGTATCATCTTATCACATCTAAAAAATATCTGGATTTCTTTAATAAAAAAAATTAAATCCAGCTACCATAAAATAAAACAGCTTTATAAACACCAAAAACATTATTCTCTTTCCAGCATGGCGTCTTGTCCAAGGAGTTTGTGGAGCTGATGGGATACTGTAACACCATCCAGGCCCAGTACAGAGACAGAAACGTGGAGAGAATACAGAGGCAACTCAAAATCAGTGAGTACACGAAGCACAGCTGTGATTTATCCATCAGTGTGTTGGGTTTGTGGTCTGTGGTTTAATTTGGGGAAATCACAATCTAACTGATCACTTCCTGCTTGCTGCTGCCCGGCTGCAAGTTACAGTTTGTTTCATGACATTCGTCACGTTACATACTCACAGATCTGTTTTGTTCTCTTTAGTGGATGTTCAGGTCACGTGCCTCATGCACATCGTGATTAATTCAGTCATTTGCTTTTATTGATACAGCAACGTTTACACCTCAGACAAGTCTAAAAACAAATTTTTGTCACGTTTTTTTTTTTTAATACATTGAAAAGGCGCATTTAAAACTATTGGATGAAACCCCCCCCCCCAAGTGTTGAAGCAGAAATACTAAAACATCTGATGGTTCCACATTCTCAAATATGAGAATTTGCTGTTGTTCGCCATCTTAGATTATAGCTAACTGAGTACTTCCAGGTTTTGCACTGTTGATCAGACAAAACAGGAGATTTAATGTTACTTTGGGCTCTGGAGTATTGCAATGAGCATTTTTCACAGTTTTCTGTGACACTACAGCGTGTCTGAGGATTTGTTTAGCGGACTGACAATAGGTGAAAACAGAAGACTGATAGAGGAAGCTGGGAATATTTTAATTTTAATTTTCAGTGTCTCTCCTCGCAGCTTTTCTTAAAACACTGATCTACTTCACTTCTCTCTTCAGCTGGGACCAATGTGACGGACCAGGAGCTGGATGTGATGCTCGAAAGTGGGCAGACGGATGTTTTCACTCAAAATGTGAGTACATGTGACCTTTCAAGATAAAAGGAGGGTGTCAACGATGCAGCTGCGTGGAAACCACAACACCTACCTCTAGCATCTCTTGCAGGAAAACACTTTCACAGTTGCAGGTCAGCTACAAGCAGCAGTGATTGCAGTGTCTGTAAATGACATGCCTGAAATGACTTGCTCTGTTGTAGCCTCTCTAGTTGATCACACTGGACCACAGATTTGGTAAGCATGTGAAGGACAGTCACGTGCAGCCCATAGATGCGTCTTTAGTGTCACAGTAGCTCATAGTGTGGAGAGTGCAGTAGATGAAACCCTGAGACCTCATGACTGCTGGCAGATTATTCTGTCTAATGGATTACAGCTAATTGATATCTGCACTGTGGTGCACAGATCCTGAGTGATGCTAAAGCCACAAAGCAGGCTCTGAACGAGATCGAGTCCCGACACGATGAGATCCTGAAGCTGGAGAGGAGCATCAAAGACCTGCATGACATGTTCCAGTACCTTGCCATGGAGGTGGAGGCTCAGGTAAAGTAACGCTGACGGAACGCTCTCAGGCTCATCTTGGTTTCAAGAAGCATCTGTATCATGAACACATTTTTGTCTTGTCTCCTGCAGGGGGAGATGGTCAACCGCGTTGAAACCAACATCAAACAGTCTGCTAACTATGTGGAGAAAGCAAAGGAAAACACAGAGCAAGCCGTCACGTATCAGCAGAAAGCACTCAAGGTACGATGTGGACAAAAACCTGAAAGACACCATGAAACTTTGACTTTCTGGAAAAACAGAAAATCTGTACTGGTTCCAGTCCCAGTTCCAGTGTCCATCCTGGTGCTGCATTTATGTCATATGCCTGCACCTACCAGCAGCTCTAAAGCCAAGTAGTCAACATTTTATATCTTGTTTGTTTAATTCATAGAAAAATCAAAGATACAGATAATACTCCAGCACATAACCCCCCTAATATGAGAAAAGATGTTTATATTCACATCACTGGACAACTCAAGACAGTTGTATGATTACAAAGTTGGTCGTATGCAGAACTATGTCCCTTAAATCTGGGTTTAATTACCTTTAAATAACCTTCAGTTGATATGAGACGTCCATATTTGTATAGTTACTTTAAATATCTTTAATAGTGTATTCATGTCTTATGGTAATTATGAGAAACCAAGTTAGAAAAACTGTTAGTCTGTTTGTTGTAATTCCAAGTTGGACACAGTGAAAAGAACTACAGGCGCTAAGGCAGCATCGCTGGCAGTTACATCTGAATAAAATCCAAAATTAGTTAGTCTGTATCTGACCTGTTAAAGCCAGCTTTTACTTTACTGCTCTGAGACTTTTAAATGAACAATAATAATAATAATAATAAAAAAACAAAAATCTGGTTTCACATATTAGCAAAACGAAGCAAAAGTAATAAATGAGGCTTTTTACATGGAGTAACTACAAGAGTTGCAACAGGAGTAACCATGTTGGAATAATGTGTTAACACTTTCCATTCATGAGCACTAAACTGGACAGACAACTAACAGAGCTTTGTCTCAAAGTCTGAAAATACTGATGTTAGAACTGGACCACAGAGAACTCACCCTGCAACAAAGCCATCACACATATTTAAGTAATCCCGCCCCTCTCTCCCTCCCATCAGACCGAGGCAGAAACAGGGAGACACAGGGACACAGAACTATAGTCAAATGTTGATGTTTTTTTCCCCCCATATGTATTCCTAATTATTTCCTGACCAAACATCTTGTCCTTTAAGATCGAACCTGTTTTGATTTTGCATGTGTGTTAACGAACCTTTTTGTCTGTCGCCCTCTGCAGAAAAAGGTTTGGGTGGCAATCTGTTTGGCCATCTTCATCCTCATCTTAGTCATCTCGTTGGTCACCAGCTTCGGCACCTAACAGCAGGCGGTGTGAGTCGGTGGTAGATTTTGGTTTAGCAGGAGCACATTATGGGTAAAATAATCCCCCCTCTCTTGTAAATATATCAGCCTACAGGATGTACAGGGGTCACGTGGTCAGTGGATTTTCTCTGTTATCATCCCTCTCTTTCATTTTGGTCTTCCTCTAACCTTCCTGTCTTCCTAACAGGCCTTTTTCTCCTTCTGTTGTTTTTTTTTTTTAAAGAAGAGATGTGCTCTCTGTTGTTTTAACTCATAAACGACCACAATCTCCCCTGCATTTCTGCTTCCGCTCAAGAGGCAGTGCTGCTGGTTTATGGACCCCCAACCCACCCCCCACCCCCCCTTCTGTCAAACTCTGGTCGTCAACAACAGAAAGACCAAGACAAATTGTGAACTGTTACGTCAGTGCCCCTTCCCCTCCCAGATTTAAATTAAAAAAAAAAGAAAAAAAAGAGGAAACAAGTGGCCTTCAGCGGAGGCACAATGCAGTATTGAAACCTGACACTGGCGCTGAACATACTGTACTCAGGAAAAATGCATTCGTTCTTGTTACGTTGTCGTTTCTGGATGAATTGGAGGTGTAAAAAACAATTTTAATAGAGTAGTGCTTTTCTTTTTATAGGCTAATATAATTGTACATAACCTATAATGCTGAGAATTAAAGAAATACTTTATGCAGATGATTTTTAAAACTTGAAAGTTGTTTCAAACTTCCTACATGTGATGGGTGTAAATACAGATTTTTTTTTTTTTTTTTTCTGAAATAACAGCCCCCCCCCCTTTCTTGTGTCTCAGCACTGCAGGCCCCCCTCCCCCCCTTTTATTTGTGCGACCAGGTTGTATTTATGATTTACATTGTTGTGTAAGCTGCTACAAGATAAGTTCTGCAACAACACAAAATGAAATCTGTTTTTTTTTTTTTCTTTTTCTTTTCAAAACTGTGCCTTCTTTATGTCAAGCTGAGAACGTGATGTTGTGCACTAACATTGTCAAGAAGGGATGGATTGAGTTTTTTTATTTTGTTTCTATTCATACGTTTCCACTGTTTGAGTCTTTGGCTTTACCTGACACTATACTCTGGATTTAGACTTTAACCTGTTATTTTTCTTCACGTTTGTCACAGTGTGCAAAGTCTCCATTTAATTTAGCTGGAAAATCCTGGAAATAAGAATTTACAGAGAGAAGAACCTGCCTAGCACCACAATGTGACAAATCTGTAAAGAAAAATAAAATTAACAAAAACAGTTGATGTTAAAGGGCGTCCAGTCCTCGCTCAAGTCTCCTTTGGAAGCAGAAAAGTGCCCATCGGCACAGTTAACAGCAGACAGGAAGATATTTAGCAGCCAATTTGCTACTGTGTAATATTATGGCTGTTGAATTTTGCATTACTCATTTATTTTAATACAGTTTTGTTTTTAAAATAAAATATTGCCATGTTCTGTTCTTCTGTGTCTGTCTTGTTTAATTCAGAGTAGTATTTTTATTGTTACCATGAGGAAGTATTTTATTTTAAGTTCCTGTATTTCACCCACAGTTAAACAAAAACCTTCAACACAATGAAAACTGGCAACAAATTTTTGGTCTTTTTATTCAACTGTAATTGTCTTAATCTTTCAAGTAAAATAATGTGGAATTACAAGGGATCAAAAAGGAATGCAACAAATGAAAGAGACACAAATCAAAAAAATAAGACCATCACCGTGTACTACCCCCCCACTCCCACCCCCACCCCCCTCCAAATATAACCTTTGCTCAAAATCACTTCGACAAGTCCAAAAGTAAATCGACAATTTACAGTCATCTGGAACTGTACCAGTAATTTTATTCACATATTTTGTCCAAGTAAATTTTTTTTTGTTTTTTTTGTTTTTTACATGAACAAAGAGCAATGAAGTGACGTGACAAAAAAAAAAAAATTCAGGTGAAAAAGAAAACATTAATTTGGTAGCACTGATGCACAGGGTGTTTTTCTTGATGTTTTTTTTTGGGGGGGGTGTTTTTTTTTTTTTTTTTTTGTTTTTTTTTTTTTTTTTTTTTGGGGGGGGTTTTTTTTTTTTTTTTTTTTGGCTTTTTTCTTTTTTTTTCTTTTTTTTTTCTTTTTTTTTCTTTTAATAGAAGCTCAACACCCCGGCTTCAGGTGTTTCACAAGGCAATCTGAGGTTCAAACCCATTTGGCCAAAGAGGCACTCTTTAATTTCAACAACATTAACTTGCCCTTTCAATATAAATACATGACAAAGTGGATTTAAACAATAACCTCCTTTGGGAAGATTCGGGTTTTGTCTCCAGATGTGACGTCTTCCATGACAATTTGCGACTTCAATTAATACATTTCCAAACGGGAAGAGATACATTGTGAGATACCAGGAACCAATTATTTCACTCAAGTTGATGTAAAAAAAAAAAAAAAAGAAAACAAATTACTAGACCACAATGTACTCAAAAAGCCGAGGGCCATGTTATCAGATGTGCAAATGAGAAATGCAAAGGCTGGATTTAAAAATGAATCCAATGAACAGAAATCGACATGGAAAAGAAGGGACCCAAGCAAAGACAAGCTCCAGCATAGTGCAGCAAAGATCACATTGACAGATCTGTTTCTCTTCCTAATACCCTGGAAGAAATAATAAAATATGCATAACTTATCAACTGACTACAAAGAAACAATAGTCAGGACAGCTGACGAAATTCTCAAAACCAAACTTTCTAAAACCTCCAACTTACAATACAACTGGTCACTCGAAAGTTTTTTATGTCACACAAATGACTTTTCATTTCTAACCCTGATAGAGGGTGCTGTATAATCCCATCTTAACACATAAGATCTGAGTGTTCCAGTCTTTAATGAGTACAGTACATTATGTGAACTAACAACTTGCCTTTATTACCTCCTGCACCTTTGTCCCCCCCTCAAGTCCCAGTGGTGAATTTATCCACTGCACCATTTCTCTGTCTGTTTAGGGACGCACAATGATGGCGCCACATTTTTTTTTACCCTCAGTCCAGCGTCCCTGAGCCTTCCCCCAGCCGACAATAGCTGAGCTGGTGAGGGGACCAGCTCCAATTGGAAAGGGAGAGGGCCCAAGAGGCAGGGAGGTCCCTGGCTTGTGCAGCACTCAGATCCCTTGCATTGTTAAGAGTGCAGACAAAGCAGCAACCTTGGAGGTCATGACGAGCTCTCGTATCGTGCTCTGAGACAACACTCTGGATTCCATTGCTTCCCTTTGGCACTCCGATCATGTCTTGTTGTGACGCTGTTGACTGGCAGAGGAGCGGGTGCTTGCGGCCGGTGACCGGGCCTGCACCGCTGCGAGTGCCGCGACGCTCCGCAGCACCCTGTCCGGTGTCCCCTCAGTTCCTGAACCGCTGGTCACCTCCTGCGAGAGCCTCTGAGACCTCCTGCTGTCCTTGCGGCTCTCCCGCTGTTGGCCCTGCTTCTCTTTTTTGTCTCTGCTCTTCGTCCGATCCGAGCTGCGGTCCCTCTCGCGTTCGCTGCCGGAGGAAGCGGCGCGGGAGCGGGACTCTCTGTGCTCAGTGTTTTGAGAGCTGATGCTATGGGTCCGTTGGCTGCTGTTGCTGCTGCTGCGACTCCTGCTGCTGCGTCCACCGCCGTCGCCCTCGCCGTCACTGCTCATGCTGCTGCAGGCGCTGTGGCCCCTGGACAGAGACTGGGCCTCAGCCTCGCCTTCCTTTCCCCTTGACAGCTTCCTGCTCCCCCTGTCCTTTTCCTCTGGCTTACACCTCTTGTACTCCCCTTCCAGGGGCGGAACCAGAGAACCGGGGCACTGCCTGGTGGAGCGGGAAGCAGAGCGGCTTGACTGACTGGGTGTTGAGGTTTTGCTGCCACTGCTTTTACTATTAGTAAGAGTTACAGAGTTGCTCTGAGGAGAGGCTGGTACACTTTTGTTTTTAGGCTTTTGGTTCTTGTCAGAAGAGGAGGCAGGCGAAGTCCCGGTGGACTTGGCTGCTGAGTCTTTCCGGGTGGTGTGGCCGGGGGTGTCCACTCTGCCTTTCATTGCGAGAAGCTTGGCTGCTGCGTTGAGTGCTGAGCATCTCTTCCCCAGGACCTCAGGCTCAGGAGGCAACGAGGGGGCGCTGTTCGTCTGAGCTTTACTGTCTTGTGAAGGCTGACATCCCGCAGACTTTCTGGTGATCCTGACAGAAGATGTATCGCTGCCAGACTCTCCGCCTGTAGATGCGTTGGCGTTGTTGGATGCGTTTCTGTCAGCGCTGTGTCCGGGTTTCTTCCCTGGCCGGCTGTTGCCCTTCTCCTTCTCCTGATCTTGCAGCCTCCTCTTGGCTGAGCGAGTCAGCCGGTGCTCCTTCCTGCTCTTGCTGTTGTCTGAGTCGGAGGAGGATGAGGAAGACCTGGAGTGCCTCCTCCGAGAGGTAGAGGTGGAGAGGTCCTCCTTGCTGCCTCCCTCTTTTATTTCCCCACCTTCCTCCTTTATCTCCTCGTCCCCTTCTGAGGTGACGTCTACTCGCCTCCTCTTTGCAGGATGTCTGTTTTCGTACGTCCTCCTGTGGTGAGCGTGGCGAGTGAGGGTTGTGGTAGAGCCTCCAGATGATGGAGAAGAAGAGCGAGTGGACTCCTGGCTACTCTGGCGACTAAGTGGCCTTTTCTGTTTGGGAGGTTTCTGATCTTCAGTAGCTTCCTCCACTGTTGGAACCTGTTGCTTAGGTTCTTCTTTCTGAGGGGTGGTTGTAGTCTTTGCTTCTCCGCCTGCACCATCCCTTCCTGGCTCCAAGTCTTGGGTCTCAGAGGAACTCTCCACCTTTATCCTTTTAGGCTGAGACTTACAGATCTCCTGCTTTTTGTCATCCTCCTCCTTGCTTGTCCCTCCGGCCACCACAGCATCTACTTCCATTTCTGTCACCGGGTCCGAGTCACTTTTAGAAGCAGAAACTTTCTGTTTAGACTCTGTAGATAGTTTCTCAGATGAAACACTGGAAGGAGCAGATGTTAGTATCTGGGGCAGGGCCTCCGTATGGGTTGGTGTAGACACCTCTGGGGAAACACCTGTGGGTGCAGAGTTTTGGGGGGTGGACTCAGGAGGAGCAGCTGTGGTTGTCGTTACTGGCTCAGGAGCAGCTGTGATAGTGGATACTTGGGTAGTTGCAACAGTGTTTGTGGAATCAACTGTAACTGACTTTTCTGGGGTTGACGTAGTTGTGGCGACAGCATCTGTGGCAGTTGTTACTGGGGGCGTGATGTTGACAGTCTTTTCTGCGGTTGGTGCAGGAGGAGCAGTAGTAGGAGTGTGTTCTTCGGAGGGGGCTGCTGCTGCAGCAGGTGTTGTTCCTTTGACTCCTTCTGTTGGGGGTGACGAAGTTACTGCAACCACCTTTGCTTCTGCGGCTGTAGTAAAACTGGCGGTGGTTGTAGTTGGGGAAGGGGTGCAGACTGGACTGGGAGATACTGCTGGGGACTTGACAGCTACTTTTTCCTGTGCAGCCTCTTGCACTGTTTGCACCGGTTTGGCTGGGACGTTGGTGCTTGTTACATGCGTCCTTGTTTGGGCTGGAGAAGATGGAGCTGTATTTGCAGCAGATGTGGCAGCTGTTTTTGTTGGTGGTGTTGAAGAAGCACTGCCAGACGTGGCTGGGCTTGCAGTTGGGACTGTCGAAGAACTTGTTGAGTTTAATGGACCTGCTTGCACTGGTTTTAGTGGGGCTGTTGTCATCGTTGTTGTTGGGTTTGATGAACTTGCTTGCACCGTCTTTACTGGAGTTGTTGTCGTAACTGTTGTTGGGTTTGATGGACCTGGTTGTACTCTTTTTACTGCAGCTGTTGTCATGGTTGCTGCTGAGTTGGATGAAGAAGCTTGGACTGTTTTCGTTGTTGTTGTTGTCGTAGTTATTGCTGTAGTGGGGGAAGACGTTGAGGATGGTTTTGGTGAAGGTGTAGCTGGGCTTGAGGAAGTGGCAGCTGGGGTGGAGCTTACAGTAGCTGGAGCAGATGTTGAAGGTGACAGAGCAGAGGCTTGCGGCGAGTCCTTTGCTGCAATAGCTTCAGTTGTTGTGACTGGTTTCACTGTAGTGGTGACTGCTGGTGTAACACTTACTGGTTTTGATACTATGGTTGTAGCTGCTGTGATTATTGTGGCGGGGACTGATGTTGGAACTGCTTCGACAGCCGTGGTGGGTGGTGCAGTTGCAACTGGTGTGGTAACCGTGGTAGTTTTGGCAGTGTCTGATCCTGTTGTTTTCACAGCTGTAGAAGTTGAAGGTTTTGGCTCTATGGGAGCTGTAGATGGTGGAAGTGTTGGTTTTTCACCTGGAGGAGATGATGAAACGGTGCTGACAGGTGGAGGTGGAGGTGGAGGTGGAGTTGTGGTAGTTGTGGTAGCAGTGACTGGGATGGTTGCAGATGTGGAAAGTGTTGAAGAGGATGCAGAGGATGCAGAGGAAACGTGGGTTGATGTTGCGGCTGAGGTCGGAACTGTAGCCGGATCTGAACTAACGGTTTGGGTTGAGGCTGATGTGGAGGCAGCCACAGGGAGGGGTGGGGTCACATGGGGTGCAGGTGCAGGTGGTGTTTGGACTGAAGCTGAGGCTGGTGTGGAGGTTTGTGCTGGATTTGGAGCAGGGGCTGAAACCTCAGTCTTAGTGTCTGTTTCCTCAGCCGTGGTGGACTGGGAGGCCTGACCTGTGCTGACGACAGCAGCTGTGGGGGTCTCTGATGATGCTGGCTCTGTGCTAGCATCAGTTTTTGATAAACCAGATACATCAGTAGGGGTGGTCTCTTTTTTAGAGTTCTGTCCTTCACTAACAGTGTCGGGCGTGGTTGTGGAGTCTTTGCGGGGACGACCCCTCTTCCGTTTTGGGGAGAGAGGCGGGTTCCCCTCCTCACTTGGCGAGGTGGGCTGCGGGGAAGGGGTCGCTGTGTTGTCAGGCTCAGGTAACCTCGGGGGAGTCTTAGGGGGCCGGCCCCTCTTTCTTTTCAGAGGTGTCACAAGAGAATTCACGCTGGACTCTGAGGAGGTTGAAGTGGCGTCTTTGCCTGGCAGCGTGTCTGTTTTCCTGGCCTGATTTCCTCCCCGTCCTCGACCCAGATGCTGCTGTTGCTCCCCCAGCTGAGCGGCCATGCGAGATTCAGTTTCCAACCTGCGGCGTACAGGAAGGTTTCTCAGCACAGGCATGTCAGGAGAAAGATGTGGTGGAGAATATGGAGGATAACTTCTGACAGGCTGCGGCTGCACTGACGGACTCGGGGTGGAGTCTTGATCCTGAGGGGGTTTGGTAACAGTCTCTTTAGTCTTGCTGTCAGGGCTCGGCGGTGTGATGTCTTTGTTCGGTTCATCAACAAATCCAGCAGCGGTCTCCTCCGCTGTCGCCTCTTCTGAAGAACCTCCACCTCCAGTGCCGCTTCCACGCCGCCTTCTCTTTCTCGGTTCCTTCTCCTCCACCACAGTGACAAGCCTCCCTGGAAGCTTCCGCAACACTTTGGCTGATGGGGAGTCTTCAACCAGGCCCCGCAGGACTTCACCATCTGCAGACTGGCGCTTGCGAGGCGACCTGGAACTGGTGGAGGGGGGAGACATGGAGCTGTGGTCTTTGCTGTCATCATCTTTTGTCTGACTGTCCGCCGGGCCGCTGGATTCGAGCGACGATTCAGATATCCTCCTCTCATTCTCCGCCTCCTTGTCCTCTCTGCCGGCTTTGGAGCTCTTGCCATCAGTCTCCATGACACCCTGTTGTTTCCCTCCAGGGGGTGAGGTTGAGGGAGGGGAAGGCACTGGACTGGGATGGGAGCGGTTTGGTAGAGTCCTGGTTTTGGTGGTCTGGTGGTCTCGGGCAGGTGATGAAGCTTTTGAAGATTTGGTGGAGTCTTGGAGTCTTGTTGATGAGGAGGTTTTTTGATGGTCTGTGCGGGACGGGGTGGTAGACACAGCACCTGTGTCTTTGGCAGCTCCTCGTCCTCTCAGACCAAGACGGGGTCTTTCAGGCACTTCTCTAGGGGTCGTAGGCTCAGCCTCAGTTTCCGGCGAGGCGCCACGAAGCCGACCACTGGTCCTTGTGGAGGTGACTATCTTGTCCTTGTCCTTGGGTTTACGGCCACGGCGGGCAGGAGCTGGTTGAGCGGGCTCCACAGACGCTGGCGGTGACAAAAAGTCGTCATCGTCATCGTCAGATGAGGCGTGAAGTTTAAGCCCCTCCTCCTTGGCCTGGTCCAAGCCCTTCCTGGCAGCCTCCACTTGCTCCTATAAACACACAGGAAGATATTTACATGAATGAAGGACACTGTGACGGACATTTTTGACTATTTTCCAATATTTTATAGCCTAAACAATTTATCAGTCTTAAGTTGAAATTGAATTTATTATCAAACACTTTAGAGAATTTTATTTAATATAAAACTGAGGTGAAGATGTGGCCTTACCTCTGCTTGCTTCAACTCTTCTTTGCAAACATCTTCTAATGAGGCTTCCAGGAAGTTCATGGCGTAGCGTTCAATGGGAGTGAGCTAGAGGAGGGTAGGGAATATGGTGCGTCAGCTGAGCACAGACAAACTGTACAGATATAATTCAGATTTACAGCAGAACACGATCCTGAAAGATGTGAAATACCCCCACCTACCCAGACAACTGGCAGTGAAGTGATGTTATAGATGTATAATCCAGATTTCATTCAAGAGCCAAACCAATGTTCTGTTCTCGATTTCGATTATTAATTCATTTACAGATTTGAATGATTATTCACCTGCTCCACCAGAGCAGCTATTTCCTGCTCAGCCTTGGAGAGCTCCTCCACTTCCTCCTGTTCCCCTCCGTCATCCAGCGGTATGTTCTCGTTGAACTCCGCCAGCTCTGCCACCTGCTCTGCTTTGGCCTGAGAGGCTGCCACGATGTCCTCCTCGTCCTCAGCACGGCACAGGGCCTGAAAGAATCAAATCAATTAGAAATATAATCAAATAATAGTATCAAATATATCATCAAATACAGCAGTTACACAAAACTTAAGACATATTTTGATGGTCCGAATACAGGACAACACAAATCACAAGACAGCTCTTCTTTTCTAAAATTTGTTTTTGAGACTTTTAAAATCAATTAAATTCAAGAAACTTTATTTACCCACAGGGAGTAATTTATTTTTGAGGATAGGCAGCAATTCTATATTCGTCCTGCTATTCACTGGATTATTTTTAAATGCACCCTGCACAATACTCTGTGTACTGTCAAGGAGATTGTCCAATTTTGTCCTGTAGATTTCACAGCTCACATCTAAAATGTGCTGCAAAAAAGTGTTTGACTTTGACGATAACCAAAAGATAGGTGCTAAATACATAATATCTGTAGGTGTTATGTCCCATGAGATGTCTCTAACCTGCTCCAGAATGGTGGTGCTCTGTTTGTTGACGGCCTCCTCCTCCTCAGCTTGGGGCACCGACAGCTCCACGGCCACCTCTCGCTTCTCTCCGTCATTCATATCAAACAGCTCTCGGATGGTTTGCTGAGGGACGAAATATAAATGAGGTACATTTAGCGCCGGGGAAATGGTTCTCTGTACTTGAGGAAAAACAAAAGTAAGAGCCACTTGAACCGTCTAATGTTGTGACATTATCACCGCTACATACTCCCGACAACCAGCTGTGCTAGTCGTGTCATTTATTTAGTGCATTAATTAGAAAATACAGAGACGACGGCGTACTTGCCGTGGTGGTATTAATGAAAAGGTCGATCTGAACCAATTTAATTAAAGGGTACGAGGACAGAGTCTGTGTCTTATGCATGTCGTTCAAACACTCAGCTACACGTTTGTTTAGATGGTGATTCATCATCACATGATTAACAGGCCAGTTATGAAAGGCAGCAAAAGACAACTAGAAAGAAACACAGCTGATCTAATTTTAATTATTATTTTATTATTATTTTTATTATCTTACAGCTGCTGCTAGAAATAGTGAGACGTGGTGAATGCTGCAATAAAAGCGGTTTCCTTTGTTCCCTTTGTGTGGAAAAACCCCAATGAATCATCAGTTTGTGCGAAGCTGACTCACGGTAAATTCCTACCTGTTTGAAGAAGGCAGTGGTGAAGTTTCCTCCTTCGATCGCCATATCTCCCAGCATCCTCTTCTGGTTGGCTTTCTTTAAAATGTTCTCCTCCACTGTGCGCTCGCTGATCAGCCTGAAGAGGAACGGTAACAAAAAACCTTCACATGTTGTTGAAATCACATTTATTCCTTACGGGGAACTGGAGTTGTTCGGCAGTGTGAAGCGAATACCACAAGTTTAGTGGATTAATTGATAAATCGATCGAATGAAAATGATTCAGCAGCTATTCTTATGCAAAAAAAAGCCAAACATTCTCTGGTTCCAGCTTCTCAATTTGTTTTTGGGCTGTTAGACAAAACAAGTGAGCTGAAGACATTAGGGGGTTCACAGTCTGACTAATGTTGTAACCCTCTGTGTCTTCTCGCATTTTCTCTGCACTGACTGTCTGAAAAATCCACTGTGCGCCACAGAAATCAGACCTGCTTTCCACTGACACTAACCTAAATCCAAATTTTTCCACTTAATCTGAACTGAATCTAACCACTTTCCCGTCCTTTATACTGGTTGCTTTAATCATGTACTTAAGGTCAAAATCAAAGTGAAAGCTTAAACAGACCAGATATGACAAGAATTTAAAGAGACTTTGCCTTTTCTCCACTCTGACTGTATAAAATTTATCCATTTTCTTAAAGTGTCTAGTTGTCTCCTTCATTTTTTGCTCATGTTAACACACTTGACTTGTGGTCAGTGTGAACTCAGAGGTAAACAGCAGCACTGTCACCTGTAGATGTGGACGTCTCGGGTCTGGCCTATACGATGGCAACGGTCCTGTGCCTGGGCGTCCATGGTGGGGTTCCAGTCACTGTCGTAGAAAACCACAGTGTCTGCCCCGGTCAGGTTCACCCCGACACCTCCGCTGCGAGTTGACAAGATGAAGCAGAAGATGCGACGGTCTGCGTTGAAGCGCTCCATGAGGGCCTGAGGTAGAAGAAAAGAAGGTGCACAGAGGAGATATTTTGCTGAATATTTTTCTTTCTTTTGTGTTTATGAAAGACAACACAATTTTCACATGATTATTTGACTGACCTGTCTCTGCTCCACGCGGGTGCTGCCGTCCAGGCGGAGGTAGATGTGTCCGTGGTAGTTGAGGAACTGCTCCAGGACATCCAACATACGCGTCATCTGAGTGAAGATCAGCACCCTGTGGCCTCCTGTCTTCAGCTTTCGCAGCAGAGTGTGGAGAGTCTGAAGCTTACCTGCACACGGGGGGGGGGGACACAATAGGAACACAAATTACTTAGTAAAGCAAACAAATCCCCATTTGAATAATAATTGACTGTGCAGGCACATTCAGGCAGGTATGGGGCACTTTTTGAATATTGATCTTGAAGTAATCAAGGAGATTATTTCATACTATCGGTAATAAGTCTCATCTAAAATCAGGTCTACCTGAAGCATCCATTTTAACATTTATAAAAGAAATTGATTTAACAAGGCAATTTTATGACCAGGGCTTTTGAAATGAATAATAAGTAGACCTCTGTCTGCTATCAGTGAGACAAGGCAGACAGCATTATGACAAATAACATATTCTTCCTCTTACAAATGAAAATCAATACACTCAGGACTCTCACTGCTACAGCCTCACTTGGTCTGGTTTGACCAGCAGCTTTTGGCAGCAAACTTTAAATCGATATCACTGTGGTTTTCTTTACTTGTGCCACTTATTATTATTATCCAGTATTATCCAGCTAAAACAGGGTGTTACGTTGCTCTTTGAGCACAATAAAGAATATCAGCTCTTCCTTCTTTAAAGATTTGCTTGAGTTTTTCTGCCCCTTGAGTCAAAAAATCCAGTTTTAGGCATCTTGACTCACCACAATCATACTGTATGAGCCTCAGGTCCGGGAACTGGGTCCTCATGTTACACTGGATACGATGGAGACTGCGAGTGAGTGGGGCAACTTGAGTTGATAGCAGGGAGGAGAAGACTGTCTGTTTGTGGCTCAGGGAGGGAGGAGGATGGCAGCAGTGCATGGAGATTGGAGGAGCCTCGACAGGGGGAATCACGAATGTGTACCTAAAATGAACACAGAAAAATAAAAGATAAATCACAAATCTTTCCCTTAAGTTAAAGCTGTTGTATCCTCTGTAATGCATCATGTAGGAAACAAATCACTATCACTTATCTACCTGTCTATCATGTCACTCAGCAGCTCCAGCCTCTCCTCGATGCTGTGGATGGCCTCTCTCACAGCGTGACTCTGACACCAGTAGTCGTATTTGTTTTGCCACTGTGCGAACAGACAGCTGCTGTGACCCGATCGGCCCCACTCGCCCTGAGAGCTCTGGGCGGCCGGGGAGGGACGAAGACTGGGGAGAAAAGTCAGGAAGTCCAAAACCTCCAGGCCGTACACAGGCTTTGCTCCACAGTGCTGCTCGTTGACTCGAATGATAAAGTCCAGCCGGCTGTCGTGCTGCTGTTTGTGACTCTCTGCTAGCCATGACTGTGGAGAAGGAAGGTAAACAAGAGTCAGGTGATACAAGTCAGCTGTGATACAAGTGGTTAAAACAGCACTGATCATGTTTTAATGGTTGTCTGGGTACTGTAAATTCTCATGTAAAAACCAATAATAGCCAGCACCAACAAATAAAGGCAGGTCACTGATAAAGGCTGAGGAGAGACTACCTGTAGCCAACAGGTCACATGGTAAATTTAATATTGTACATTTCCACAGCAGTAATTCATCAGTACAACAGAGTCATGTTACCCTCACCTGTCTGCTGATGTTAGTTTCTCTTTTTTTGAATATAAATCATATATTTCATACTCATCTCGTCATTTCTTCATTGCTTAGCTCTTTATCGATGTTAAGCTATTGTCATCAATACTCAACCATTCTTGGGGTTTTTTCACATTAAAAGCCTTCCAATAAAGAAACGGCTGCAAGACTTTAACTGAGTTTCATTCAAGCTAACATTGGCTGAATCCGGATGTCTGGACCGCACCCGCAGACTCACAGACTTGAGGGGAAGTCCGTCGGTTAATGTTGGTATGATATTGTGTTTGGCAGCTCATGTAACACGAACATTTTACCGCACATTCTGAACAGATCTGGTTTATGGTTTATTACTATGTGAAGTAGAAATCTGCATTCCATACATAAGTTAAGTCAATATCAACACCCTTATGAACCACTCATAAAAATACTTTGAAATGAGTTACAGGGTCTGAAATTTCAATTAATCTCCATGGAAACGCCTGATGTGACTCTTGCTGCACTGAGGAAATAGCTTTTATACTGAATTTATCAAGACAACAACAGGTAAACATGGAGGAAGGTTGGAGTTTGTTTACCTGAGGAAAAGAGGAGATTAGAAATAAAGGCCGGTCTCTAATATAAAAGCCTGGTTCTCTCTGACACTGAGGTAAATAAAGGCCACTGTTTATTTCATGGTGAGAGAAGCTTTATGTATCTTGTAACTTATTGAGTGCCATTCATTAGTCGTCAGTTTTCAAGAGGAACAACTTGCTCACCATGTGGAACGGAGAGCGAGGGGGTGGCCGAGGCACTTTCCTGGGTGGAGGGTAGGCTTTTGCCCCCGCACTGGGCCTCGACTTGGTGGTTGCCGGTGTTTGACTGCTGCTACTGCTGCTGCTGTTGTCACGTGGTGCTGTTGAAGCCTTGGACACAGAAGATGAGGGGGTCGCTGGAGCTGCGGGGAGGGTAGAGGAGAGAAGATGGCAGTTGTAAGTAACTTGAATCTGCAGTACAAATGGCCGTGGATTTGCGTTTGGTTAATACAAGGAAACTTCAGGTCTCTCTAATCCCCTTCCCTGACCACTGAAACCAGGATTCTGGTTTACACCACATTAAAGAAATTAGCTTTCCTGGAGAAAGCTGATTGTATCTTGATGAGTAAAGTGCACATTATTATGGATTTTTCAATGAAAAAGAGGAGTAGATGTAATATAACTTTTTTGTGGAAGAAACATTATTTTTTTAATTCTTAAAAACAGGTCTGAATCTTCGGGATCTTTAAATAAACAGAACTGGCTTTGAGATACTCTCCTGCAACCTCCCTGCATGTCTGCTTCTCTAAACAGATGGAAAATAATTGTGGATGACAGGGAAAAGAAAATACTAAATATTAGTTGCAGTAACGATGTGATCCAGTTCCACTTGTCACGCACACATACAGCCTTATGAATTATAGCTCAGAGAGAATAATTGCTCGGGCTCGTTCTCTCACCTGGCTGCTCTGTGCTTGATGAAGGAGGCTGCACTACTTTGAGGACAGGGCGAGGGGGTTGGGGCTGGTTCAGGGTGGAGCTAGGGTTTCTGGGAGGAGCTATGGTGTAGTGGGCGGTAGCGGGACCGGGGGTGCGCTGGGAAATTTGCAGTGGAGCAGTGTTTCTGACAGGGGTTGTGTTGGCATGGGCGTGCAGGGAAGGGGATGCCTGAGGAGCAACACGAGGGGAAGGGGCCACTGCCAGGGTGGGAACAGGCCCGCCCTCCTTGCCTGCTGACTGTCGCACAACGATCTTCACGACGCCGGGGCTGCTCACCATGGAGGAGGGCACTGGGGAAAAATACAAACGTATGACCTTTGAGAAACAAGGCTGCATAACCAAGTGGCAGACATTTCCCTTTAAAGATAAACGTGAATGTGAAAGAGAGAAAAGGGGCTAAAAACCTTGCGAGGAGGCATTATGAGGCAGGCGGTTCGCAGGGGGAGCAGTGGAGGTGTTCGCAGGGTGTGTGTTGGCTGCACTCTGGACAGACACCTGAGCAGGCTGGCTGATGAGGTGGTGCTGCACCCCACTGGACACCAGGTGCATCACATTACCTGCAGGGTGGGAGTGTGTCAGAGATAATCAGGGACTCCACATCATCACACATCGTAGCCAGGTATTCATTCACTGAACGATCAGCTTTAATATAATACATAAAACGTAGAGCTAATTAATTATGGCAAAATAAATCATCCCAATTAGTTTGTTTAATATTGTGACCAACTTGTGTTTCAGTCTTAAAACTCACAAACAATGTCATGGCAACTCTTTCCTGTATTTCTTCTTCATTTTACTTTAAATGTCTTTGTTCAAAACGCTGTTCAGCTTCAAAATATTTAAAAAGTATTTGCTACTTTATTATTCTTGGGCTCTGCCAAAACACAAAGGCAAACTTTACCCATACTTTGTTCTCTGGCTTCAAACCAGAAGCCAAAGAATATTAAAATGATAAATCTTGATTCACTTAAAACCAAATGATCTACTGTATTAAAAAATTTAGGAATTTTTCCAGTGTTTTTTCAACTAGAGCGGCCTGTTTTTACATCTTTACTTCTATGTGCATCACTTTCACTGTCAAAGATGCACTTCAAAGACAACATAAATGTTTAAATATATTTACACCATTAACAATATGTATAAATATACAATTATCTTACCACTGAATCCTTTAGGTGCATGAGGCAAATGTGACAGAAAAACTGAAATAAATCACCCATTTTACACATGAATCACGTCTAACACTGACCTTGAACTGGACGTGGAGGAGCTGCTGGGACTTGGTGGATCTGGGCTCCAGACAGAGTCAGCTTGTTGCCCTGAAGCTGGAAGGTGACGGGTTTACTGCCCTGACATGACGACACAGGTCGGCCCGCCAAGGAGGCGAGCTGGGCTATGCTCACTACCTCACCAGCTTAGGAGGGAAAACAGAGAGGGGGATAAGAAACATGTTTACCAACCCAATTTACTTCAAATTCAGTAGCAAATGAATTGACAATCAAATTACTTACAAATATAGTTGTTAAATACTAAAAGGAGTTTAAGGAGATAATGCTTCATTAGGCAACTGATGCACAAGAAAAACAAAATAGAAAATGATGGACTTACAAGGCAACCTGGCTTGCATATCTGGACTGAGCAGAACCCTCTGGGGCATGACGCTGCTGGGGCTTGGACTTGCGTGAGCAGGAATACTGGCTGTGCAGGGAGCAGTGGGAGGCCGTACGGTCAGCACCGGCTTGGGCACGCTGGATCTCACTGCAGTTTGAGCCGCAGGATGCATGGACGGGCGGGGAGGGGGGTTGGACGCCACTGAACACACCTTAAAAAAGTAAAAGAAAAAGAAAAAAAAAAAAAAAAAAAAAACACAAGGAGAAATAAGTAAGAGAAAAGTGTCGTGGAGATTGGAGACATGGAAAGAAAGATAATCAGTACTTTGGTCCAATTATGGAAACATTTGTAGTTTGATCCCGTTCACTTGCCTTGTTGAACGACAGGAGCAGGTGCAGGAGTTGCAGAGACTTCGGTTACTGGAGGAGGTCTGGGGGTCTGAGCTGCAGGGGGCACGGAGCAGGTAGGTTTGTTCATCAGAAGGACCGGCCTGTTGTCACCTTTAGGAGGCGGCTGGAACATCCTAAAACAGACAGACACACATAAATGAAAGATCAACCACTGTATTCATTTATTGGTTTACAATATGAAAGCTCTGGAGATCAAGCTAGAGCTAGCATGAGACTAAAACACAAACCAGCCCTCCCTCTCCCTACTCTTCGAGCTAGTCATGTCTTTCAGCAGCTAATGCTAGCAGTAAACCAGAGGCGTGTTCACGTATTGATTGACAACTGTGAGCTCCCACCCCTGACTCTGGCCATCTCTGATTGGTTAGAAAGGAAAAGTTTGCTCAGAAACTTTATGATGCAGCCAGACCTAGACAGATTTCCTCGTGTTGTGCGGCCAGAAGCAGGAGGAGACAGGAAACAGTGTGTGTTGGGTTGTAAATATAATCTGTTATAATATCTGCTGCTTGTTTTATTTTGCTGTGCGGTGACAAAACAAGAATATAAACAGTATTTCCTGAATGAGATGTCAGTTCCACCCCCTCTGGACATTAGAGAACCTTGACATTTTGTAGGTCAAAGTTAAATCAGACTGAACTCTGCACGAAGTGAAGGAGGCGGGTCAAATCGTGACCTGAAGCTAATGTGTCTCGTCGACATGAATGGGAAGCGAATTCTGCTCTGAGTGCACCATTACAAGAGAATATCTCAGCACTGCTGCCTGTTCAATGAGTCTAATGATTAATAATACTGAGAAAACAGATCACATTCTGTAGCTTTAATACAAATTTTACACTTGTTAAACATATGGTTTTATTACCCACTGACAACAGAACAGAGCAGAGATGGAGGTCCATCAATCTGTTTGTATATTGTTGCCAATTCAATATCTGAGTTTCAGTACTAATACTGACTTTAATATTTTATTTAATATTGTATGATTTAATATTTTGATTCTTCTGAAATACATTAGTGTTTGAGATATGCACAAATAGCGCCACTAAAACTCTGGGTAAAACTCTGATTTGATAAATATTCTCTTATATTTTAAAAGAAAAATAATTCAATAACTCGATCCTACACGGACATGTTTGAAACCAGCCCAAACATTTACTGTTTAGAGACAGACTCTTAGGTGTATGATTGAAAGGTTTGCTGATGGAGGAAGATGGAGAAAACAAATCAATTTCACTTTCACTACTTATAACAACCAGTCCATTTGGTTACCCACCTTCAGCACTATTGACAGATTGTCCAGTTTGGGTTGATTGGCGGACAGCTTAACACCAGTGATAAAGGCTAGTCCACTAACTCCTGTGCATCTTAAGAACTTAATACTGTTGTTTCTTAAATGTTGGTTTCCATGCAGAAAGCCTAGATCAGTGTTAAACTTTTCATTGTCCATTTCTTGAGGAAAATATTCAGCTAGGGAAATGACATCATTTTAGTGGGAAAGCAGAACATAAATTACCCTGATGGACCATTGTTTGTTGCCAGCTAATAGTCAGCTTTTCTTGGCTAACACACTGAGCTTTTAAATCGAGTCTGAACACACTGAGGTGACCTTTAGCAAAAGCACTTAACCCACAGAACAGTGCATGGCATTCACAAATGATAATGTGTGTCTCTGTACTAACCAGAGGCACACTGATACAGGATCAGTTAGATTTTCTCTGCACAAATTGAGGAGACAAAAATCTGTGAAGTATCAGTAGTTGGACTGTTTACCTGTTGACCTTCATGCGTACAGGTCTGGGTCTCGGAGGAGGTTCAGGGGACTCCATGATCTCCTGGATTAGCTGGCGGCTGACCTTGTGGCGCGGCAGGAAGACATCCGCCTGGTACCGGGACACACGGGTCTCCAAACTAACAAAGTTGAACAGCGACAGGTCGCAGCGCTGAGGACGAAAAAGGTGCATCATTTTTTTTTAATGTTCATCTAAATTGATTTCAATGTGATTTTCCTGACCAAATGAAATTTTTTTGAAAGTTATTTTTAAATGCTGACCTTCAGAGGAGAGACATCCAGGGCCTCCTGCACCAGGGAGGCTGTGTGGAAAACGATGCGCTGCGTGATGAAGGGAGACTGGATGGGTCGAGGGTCAAACAGGTTGGGGTGGTTGCACACTTTGCGGAGTTGCATGAGGATGTTAATCACAGACATGAAGTGACCACTGGCCAGCGTTTCCCGTGTGCTGTGGACAAGATGGTGAATGAAGAGACTGGTAACATGAACAATAAAGCAATTACGATATAGGCAAAAAAGAAGTATGCGATTACTATTTTGATAGTTGATTAATAATTTAGGTAAATTTTGAATGAAAAAAAAACACCAAATATTTGATCATTCAAGCCTCTAAAATGTGAGGATTTGATGATTTATTTTGTCTTATATTTAAGTAAAGTGGATATCTTTTTTACTGTTAGTTAAGCAAAACCAGCAATGTGAATATGTTACCTTGTTCCCTAGGAAATTATGATCAGAATTTTTCAATATTTTCTAATATTTTAGAGACTACAAGGATTAGACAATTAAAATAAGAAAATAATCTGCAAGCATTTCCAAACCTCAATTTCTTACAAATAAACTAAAAAGAAAACTCATATACTACATTCTTGGCCTGTTGTACATGTGTTTATTTGCTAACTATATACCTCTAAGAGTAAAAGATGTTACAGGCAAAAATCTATTTTACAAAAATTGTCTGCTATTTCCAAAAAGGAAAGCTTCATGAAAAGACCCAAGTAGTTTTGCTGTGTACCAGATCATCTCCAAATCCGCCTTTTGAACACGAAAAGAAAGTAAATGGACTTACGAGGCCTGTGCCATGAAGTCGTCGTAGAGGAAGCGTTGTCTCTTGGAGAGGCGGCAGCGCACCACATGCTCGTATTTCTTGGGCATCTGCTTCTCAACGTCGGCCTTGATCCTCCTGAGAAGGAACGGCCTCAGCACCTTGTGCAGCCTTTTGACTAGGCCCTCGTTGTACTCCTGACTGCCCTCGATCATCCCCGTCAGCGGGTTGGAGAACCACTCCTTGAACTCGCGGTGCGACTGGAAGACGTGGGGCATGAGGAAGTGCATCAGAGACCACAACTCCATCAGGCTGTTCTGCAGAGGAGTTCCTGTCAGCAGCAGCCGGCGGTGGCTGTTATCGGTCAGAGGAGAAGAAGAAATTCAGATAAATGTGCCAAGATTTATATCATTAGGATTTTAGATGACTGAGGAGGAGAAATTCTAATAAAAAGGCATTTTCAGTGAATGGATTTCAAAGCTGCCACTTTGACACAACAATGACATCATCTTAGAAACTTTATATAGTGAACTTGTTGTCAAAAGTTGCCTATTTGCAGATACAGAGCAACATTGTTTGTTTTTTGTCCACCTAATGAAGTCCAATATTCCCTGTCTTTCTAGCTCTGTGTTTGGTCTCCACCAGCTCCTGAGGGAAACACCTGGCTCTTTAGCTGCTAAATGCTCCACTAGGTTCACCAGCTAGACTCTAATGGTGTCTGTCTGCCGTTTGGTGCTGAGCAGGTAGTGTACAGTGGCTTTTTAATTCTTTGAAAACAGCTTCTGCTGCTGAACACACAGATGGGATGGGACTGAATCAAAACAGCTATGTTGTGCTAAAAGACACTAAAAAGCTCTGCAGAGGCAGGTGTTTGTAATTTACAAATGTGTTTCCTCATTTCTATCCTTAACATTCCATGCTTTAGGTCCAAACTATACATCTCAATGGACTACTGTACCCTTGAGTGCAAGGTCTTGCCTTTGAGATACATTTGCATTAGGACTAATCACTGTAGTGTAAGTGCTCCTTCTCCATTTTCCCTCTGCACCTTAAGAGAAGATCTAAGGCTGAAGCTTTTAATAATGACACGGTTTATGACAAAAATCCCACCAGTTGGACCAGGCCACCAGACAAATGATGGCAAGTTTATCTAATTACAGTCACTTTGATAAGAAACCATGTCAAATGTTAAGATTAGCTGGTTCAGCCTTCACAGCCACACACCACTCTGGCCTGTGGATGAACACTTTAGTGCTCCGGTGGATTTCGGGGGATGCATTCAAAGTCAAACGTGGCTAATACTGAATGACAGCATGTTTTCTACAGATGAGCGCACACTGACTTTCTGTGACAAGCAACAGCTTACAGACAGGAACGAGAGACATCCTTGAATGTGCTTGGAAGCACTACAGAGACCAAAGAGTATTTTTTTTCAATAAGCCTGACTAGTTTGCACAAAACTATGTGGTGTGTAATGCTTGCTTATGACACTTATTCAGATTTTCCACCCACAAGCCGGACTTCCCAGAAGAATGGTGAAGAAACGATCCCCTCACTCTACTGGGTTATAATGTCATATGATGAGCAGTATACTGTATCAGTGCATGGTGCTTTTGGGGAAAATGGACATATGGATCTTTGCCAGGCTAAACCAGCAAACCATTTAGCATTGGATCCAACCAGTCTGTTCTGAAGACAAAAGTGAGACTCTTCTAAACTGCATGAGTTACTAACATCTGGACAAGATCTCCCTGTGTGAGATACACCATCAGAGCTCCTTTAAAAGTACAACGTATTTTGTTCTTAAAAATGTTTTTAATTTTAATGGAACTGAACTTTACTCTGGAGAAATACCTCTATGCCACTCCAACAGTAACTGGACTACATTACATTTTTACATTACATTCATTTGGCTGACACTTTGGTCAAAAGCAACCATGTTTCTCTACACACATCCAGAGCAATTTGGAGTTTGGGTTGTTCATTTACATAAAGATACAAGTTGCCAGGTATCAAACTAGTAACCATACGGTTATTGTTTAACCTGCAGCTGAGCTACTCCCGCCTGCTGTTGGATTATCATTTATTTATTTTTATTTATGTAAGCCTCAAAGATCATTGAGGTTTCCGTCATTTGCAATGATGTCGAGTTACACACAAATAGAGTTAAAATTCAAAAGAGGACAATACTCGGTGAAAACATTTGCGCACTGAGGTGAAGTGGTTTGAGATCATTGTCTTGAATTGTCCAGGGGTAGTGAGCATGTCGATCTTAAGTGTGCTGCAGATAATTCCATGTGTTTGGTGCACAAGTTCAGAGTAAACCCTCGGGACTTGAAGCATAAGAGAGTTAGTAGAGCAAGTTTGTTCCTATGTTCGAGTTCAGGATAAACGTTATATAGGGTGGTGAATGTCCAGTAAGAGCTTTATGGATGAAAAGGTGCAGGTGTTTTTCATTTGACAAACTGATCTCTTTCAGCCTTATTTAACAAATCCCACTGTTCCCGTTTGTTAAAAGTGACTTAATATGAGTGACAGTATCTCACTGCACCACATTTATTAAAACCTGCTGTAGACTGAATTGTAAGAACACTGTGTTTATTTTGTCTCTGGTACATAACAAAAAGATGATCTTTATTCCAGCAGCTCTCCTGTTTAAAGTGCAGGGACAAACTACACCAGGTATGTGTGCTACAATGATGAACAATGAAGCGCTCATGCATCCTGAAGCAACAACCTTAGGACACAAGGCAGGGTTAGATCATTCCTGGCTGATCCAACTGGGCAAGTATGTATGAACCAATGAATCCACATCACTGGTGATTTGTCAGTTTGTGGACCCACTGCTCGGCTTTATATTTACTGTTCAGGCATAAGAGCGCTGTCAATCTTCTCATCCATCTCTCAGAAAGCAAATAAGCCCGAAGTATCAAACTGTTCCTTTAAAAACTGCAGTAAAAACAGTGTTGAATTCTTTGTGGTGCTTCTTAATTATGGATGTGTGAATCATCAGCGATGCTACATTAATTACTCATTTAGAGCTCCACAGTCTGCACGTCTTCTTCTGAGAATATAAACCACTGAGCTCTACCGACCTGTTGAAGTTCAGCAGGCTCTGCCAGCGCTGAGACTTGAAGTTCTTGATGTTTTGAGCCTCGTCTAGGATCAGGTAGCGCCAGGACTTGCGTCTGAAGGCCTGGTGATCCTGAAGCACCAGCTTGTACGAAGTGATGCACACGTGGAACGCATTAGGCTTCGTCCAGCCCTGAGAAAGGAAAAGAGAAGCAGTGTGGTTTTCATTTGGATTTTTTTCAGTACTGACTTTTTCATATTTTTGTCCGATTTACGAAGCCAGCAGTTACGATATCTGTCAGATATATTAACTTAAAATTCAACAATTTGCCGCAACTGCTCACTGGAAATTTGCCAACTGCAGAAAAGAACAGTCCAGAGCCAATAAACTCATCACCTGTCTCTTTAGCTTTCTCTCTTTTTGGCTGCCAAAGTAGGTGAGGATTTTAAACCCAGGACACCAGCGCTTCAGCTCCATCTCCCAGTTCAGCATCACACTGGTGGGGACGATGATGAGGTGAGGGCCCCAGTTACCTAAACAAAACAGAACAAATATAATAACAAAATATCAGCAATGGAACATATAAAGAAGAGGAGAAAGAGTTCGATTACTGTATAAAAATATGAGACACACTCCAAAAGGATGATTACAGTGAACTAAAATGAACTACACCACTTCAAATGCTGCAGCACGAAAACAATAATGAGTCTGTCTGTTACCTTTTTCACAGGCGAGGTGAGCCAGCAGAGCGATAGTCTGGATGGTCTTTCCCAGACCCATCTCATCAGCCAAAATGCCATTTAGCTTTTTCTCGTACATGGTGACCAGCCAGTCGAGTCCAATGTGCTGGTATTCTCGTAATGTGCCGTGAAGCAGGAATGGGATGGGGGTCTTGACCTTTTATTGGGGAAAAAAAAAAGGATGAGAAAACTATGATCCAGAACTGCACAGGGTAAAATCTTTGAACTTAAACACACGTAACATTTTTCTTTTGCAGCAAGATCTGCTTAATTTGTAAAGTGTTTCCACTCATCAAAAGGCATTAAATCTATTCATCCTGAAGACTGACCTTCGTCGTAGCCAAAGTATAGCCTTTAGGCTGCAGGCTCTCTGCAGTAGCAGCAATGTGGCTGATTTCTTTCTTTGGCCGCGAGCTAGAGGAAGGTGGGCTGTGGTCTCCCTCCTTCAGCAATACCTCCATCCCTTCATCTCCACAGTCATCATCCTCTTCTTCCTCACTCTCCTCCTCTTCTTTCTCACTGTCTTCATCCTCTGCACTGTCTCCTGGTGAATCTGAGACAAAAAATGATTTTAGCAATAAAAATGGCAAACAATCTTTAAAAAGCAGCTCTGGCCCGTCGGTGTTTGAGATTATTCTGATTCCCTGTGAGCAGGTTATTACCTGAGGAGGAAGTGTTGCTTTCCACGTCACTCTCATCTTCTTCGCTCTCCTCCTCCTCATCCCCAGACACCTCAGAGTCAGAGCTTGCTTTAGAGCCAGATGCAGAAGGTGCCTCAAAGTCTGAGGCATAAGCTCCTTTGTATTTCTCCAGCAGCTCCTCAATACTCATGTCACCTATAAGAGGAGCAGAGACATGTCAGGGTAGAAGTTTACTGCTCCTGTGTTTAAAATGCTAAAAAAATAAATGAAACACTTTTAGCTAATAGGCACATACACGTTATCTATGCTGGGACAGCTCTACGATCAGTTATTAACAAAGTGAAATTAAGTAATGATATTAGTTATTTGGCTGTTATAGTGCTCATGGACCATATATTTCAGTGGTTTTGTCAACTTTATCAAAACTAAGCCTTTATTGAGGTTTGAAAATAAGTTGTCAAAGCCAAAATGAAGGACATAGAGTATTTTCATATCAAACAAAAGTTTAGCCCTGAATCATATGTTATATCTTGTTTATCTAAACACCAAAGACCTTCAGTTGTACAGCTGAGAGCTGTTATTTATTTACTCTCTGGCCATTGTGGTTGGTAGATTCAAAAACATTCAGGAGGATAAAAAACAAATTTTCCATAAAATGATTAGACTAAGCCCTGAAATACTCTGGTGAACAGATAAACAAAAACTGGAACAGTTGTTTAGACTGATGTGTTTATTTTGCTGTAGAAGATGAAAGCTTGAACATTTGACTGTGAGAGTTGTTGAAGTTAATTCACTAATTGTGGACCTTTTTTATTGTGTTTATTGTATTTAAATAGCACCTTTTAAAAACAGAGTTTCCAAAGGGCTTTGACAAATGAATCAAAAGCAATGATGGTCAAAAGCAGGACAGACATACGGTAGAGTTACAGAGGGAGGACAAACAATATGCTTCAGTATAAATAAGGACAGTTAGAAGGAGCAGATGCCGTATATAAACACACACACACACACACACACACACACACACACACACACACGCAAACACAATAAAAGCAATACAAACCAAAACACAGTAAAAGCAATAAAATGATGACATCACATAAAAGCAAGACTATAAAAATGAGTTTTAAGAAGTGATTTAAAAGAAGTTACTGCTTCTGCCTTATCTCATCAGGCAGGTCGTTCCAAAGTTGAGGGGCCCTGATGGAAAAAGCACGGTCACCTCTATATTTAAGCCTCGACTTTGGAACGGCCAGAAGGGCCTGACCCTGGGATCTAAGGCTGTGTACTGGCTCGTATGAGGTTAATAACTATAATGTAGCTCAGGGACAGGCACCGGCATGCTTTAAAAGTGACCAGTAAAATCTTAAAAAATCAATTCTAAAAACAAACAGGGAGCCAATGATGGGACGCGAAGATTGGGGTGATGTGATGTCGTATGTTATAACCAGTGACAAGCCTAGCTGCTGTAATCTGAACTAGTTCTGAGTTCAGAACTAATTCTGAACAAGGCGGGAGAGAGACTTTTAATTAATGCCAGAGAGAAGGGAGCTGCAGTAGTCCAGTCTTGAGAAAATTGATGCCAGAACGACTTTTATTTGATCAGGTTATGAGATGGTGGGTTTGATTTTGGAGATGAATTTTTTTTTTTGGAGGAAGCAGAACTGGACAACTTTTTTGATGTGGTGGTAAGGTAAGGTGTGAATCAAACAGTACTCCAAGATATTTGGCAACAGGTAGAACATTCGCGGTCCAGAGCAGCTAGGCTTTCTGGGTCATCAGGTTTTAGTGGAAGGTATATGTGTGTGTCATCCGCGTAGCAATGGAAAGAGATTTTGTGCCATTGGATAACTTGGCCAAGTGGAAACATGTAAATTGAGAATAAAATTGGACCTAAAATTGAACCTTGCGGTACACTACAGGTAATGCAAGTTGTGGAAGATGCATGATTACTTACGGTGACCGAATAGGTTCTGTCTAAAAGGTAGGAATAAAACCAACTAAGTGCAGTGTCCTTAATGCCAACACAGCTTTTCAGGCGGACAATTAAAATGGTATTGTCTACTGTGTCAAAGGCTGCACTTAGGTCTAAAAGAATTTAAATTGCGCTTTGTCCTTGGACAGCTGCTAAAAACATACACACAGCACTCTGGTTCTGGCTTATATGAATCTCTACTGTATTGTGAGTCCAACCATAGTTGATGCATAACACAAAACAGACAACTTCAAAGCGGCGCACAAATTAACAACAAGAGGCTCCTCGTCAAGAGTGGTGACTCTTTCTGTTTCATGCACCAATATGGGAAAAGCACCTACCTTCTTTGGCCAAGTCGTCCAGTTCCTCTGCGTGATCCACATTTCCTTCTACCTTCTCTTGGGCTGCGATCGTATCCTCCTCATCCTCGGCTGAAAATCAGAGGAAACAGAAAACAAATATTAGGCCACTATTGGACATATATTTCAAGGCATTGTAAGAAAACACTGGTGCAATGTCTTAATCTTATTTCCAAGATATGTATAACTGCAGCTTGTACCACAACTTTTTTTTACCCCACTTCTTACCATCTTCTTCATTGGCAGTGAATTCCCCATCTTCCTCTTCCTCCTCTACTGATGAAGAGGTCTCATCAGAGCATTCTTCCTCTGAGCCTGAGTCCTATGTAACGCAATGATTCAGAGATTAAATGACATCCAAACATCTGTGGTCTGTATTCATTTATTTATGTATTCAAAGGTAATGAGAACAATCCTAGCAGTTAAAAACAAACCGCACCATCCATAAGAGTATCTGACCATTAAAATCAATTATATTTGATATATTTATTATAATCTTCAAAGTCTAAACTTTGTCATTTTATTGAGGCAACTACTAATAAAAACTCTTATTAGAAACAGTTTTGCACATTTTGTTTACAACTGCAATATTTGCAATTACCATCAGTCATGTTATTTGCCTCATCCGCACATTTCCCACCATATTTTAGCACTAACAGCAGCTAGTTGTGATGATTGTCATGATAATATTGTTAACAAGGATATATCTGGTCACATTAACTATAGAATGACAATTTTCATAGCGGCACCTCCCTGATAGATATTGTACATGAGACAGTCTGTGTGATCATTTTAATGTTCTTTCCTTTCAACACCTGTGTGATTTAACATGTGAAATCAACAAAATCAAATATTGTTCAATAACAAAACACAGAATTTCCCAGTAAGAACGTCCGACTCCCTCAGGTTTAATTCTTCTTATTAGTATGTGCTTGTGTTTCAGTGTGCTGATCAGTCGGTAATAAGCAGGAGACTGAACACTAGTAATACACAGGTTTGTGGAGGTACCTGTGGCAGTTTGAGGGTGCTGAGTAACTGGTCCAGGGGCAGCATGCCCTCCTCCTTCAGCAGTTCAATCTCTCTCCGATGGCTCTCAGCGTCATTGCCCTCCTGCTGCTCCTCCACCTCTATTGTCTCCTCATCATCCTCCTCTTCACATGGAGGCTCAAAGTCTCTGTCTGCATAAAGAGAATAGATTTTTGTGCTGAAAAAAATGTTTCCTTCCTACACTGATATAAATTGGGGAAATCCAAAGACTTATTGAATCAAAGATAATCACAATGTGTCTTGTATCTCGAATGATTGGGTTCATAAGGTATCACACAAAAGCTCAACTGCAAGGTTTCAACCACATGTTCTCAATCCAAGAAATACTTCAGAAAGTCATTTGGTTCAATCAGAGGACGTTCTCTTGATGTGCGTCAATGACAGAGTTTCTTGATAGATAAGGACACTGTGTTTGCACTTCAAACTAAAATGAAGGTGGGACCTGGACTACTGACTCACAGACATTAACCACTTCCTTCCTCTAATGAGCAAACCCTTAAACTGAAGTCACTGTTCCCCTCCACCTTTTAGCAGTCAACCGCCACTGGTAACAATGGCAGCAGACCAGTCCGACCAGTTTGACTAAGTCTAACGCCTGTTGGTTGCAGAGCTGGATACGGTACCCTAAGACATGTTTTATTGCTCTTACATCATCTTGGTGCCAGGATGCATCAGAGCTCAGGTAACCAGGCAGACTTTTCACAGATATATGAGAACATGGTGGATTCTCTCACAGATACAACAACCTTGACAATGAAAAACAGCTTTTTGTTTCCATTTTACCTCTAGAAGCTTAAGAAGATTCAATCATTGGTGTGTAGCTATGACAACGTCCCTGTCTGAACCAATGAATCAGCTCTGAAAGTACTTTCAGTACAATAACACTGAGACAGTACACACTCTTTATTTTATTATTTATTTTTTTTTTTAAAAAGAGAACTTCTCACCTTCCTCATCAGCGGTAGGAGGCAGGGATTTTTGGGGAGTCACAGGGACAGTTTCAGCGGGCCGGGTGGGTGCGAGTGACTTGCTGAGGAGGTCTGAGTATTTCTCTGTCTGGCCAACAATGAAATCCAGCTGAAGGTCCAAAGCCTTCTTCCTCTTTTCCTCCAATCTGGACTGCTGCTTGTACTGCACCACCTTTATGGACAAGATAAGACACCACATCTTTTAAGACCGGATGAATTTTATTTTGTAATTTCAAGCAAAGCTACAATAAAGCCCGAAAGAAAAATATAAAATAAACAGTTGATAAATTCACTTGTTGAGTCTGAAAAGTGCACACTCAAACACACATCATGATCCTTTCAGACTCCACAGCTGAACACTGAATCAGAATGTTTTGTTTACTCAGCCTCTGTGAATCATCTGTACCTTCTCAACACTGCTCCAGAAAGCCCGGACCTCCTTTGCAATAGAAGATGCAACTCTTCTGATTTTAGCATGCTCGTCTCTCTTGGCTTTTTCCTCTTTTTGCCTCAGCTCCTCGTGGTGTCGCATCACCATTCGTACCACCTGATAACACATCAACAGAACATATAGAGTTAATATGACCAGATCTACAGTAGAAGCAAAGAAAATACCTCATCCTCCAGTCAAGCTAATAAAAACATGAGGTTAAAATAATTACATTTACACGTGTGGAGGTATGTATGCGTGATGATTACATACCTTTCTAGCCACACCTCTCTTCCACCGCCTCTCTTGGGCAAAGTCAGCAGAGAGCCACTGCATCTCCTCACACAGGTAATCCCAGTGAACTTTGGGTCGCGGCGGCTCCGTCAGGCGGGTGAGACGCTTCATCGACCAGAAGCCCTCTCGCTTCAATGCCTGGGTTCGATGCTCGATGTCGGCTTCCTACGGGGGACACGATAGACAAAACCACTCGGTAAATCCTGCCGGCACATTAGTGTGCTACAACAGTGTTTCTGAAACTGTGTGAAACTGTTAGGGGTAGGTAAAAAAAAAAAAAGTCTACAATTCAGAAGCGAATCACAAATGGCAAAAAAATATTTTTGTGATAACATTAGTTTATAATACTGATATATATTAAAAGCCAGAATTCCACCACGAGGTCTCCATGCAGCATCAGGAGAGTAACTGGCAACTATTTTGACAATCGATCAATAGTTTCTGTCATTTTTCAAGCAAAAACTGTGTAAAATGTCAAACATTTGCAAATTTCAGCCTCTCAAAAGAGAATATTTGCTGCTTTTCTTTACAAACTAAACATTTTTTTATATTTTGGTTAAACAAAACAAGACATATGAAGACGTCCTCTTCAGCTCAGCGAATTTTTTTTAAGTTACATGGACTAATCAATTAATTGGCAGATTATTTAATAACGAAAATAGTTGTTGCAGCCCTGGTACTCACATATTTTTCTCTGCCTTTTTTCTGTTTGTTAGACAGCAACTTTTATCAAGACCAATTTGTTTAACTGCTTCTTAAGGTTTCATATTGCATTTCAGTGGACCACAGACACAAGTGAATGGTTTGGCGCACAGTGAACTGGAGTAAGTGACTAAAAATAGGGCCTCCCTTCCTATTTATTGACTCAAGAATCAATTCCAAATTCCAAATCATGATGCCATCAATCAAATCAAATCAAATCAAATCAAGAGATTCCCAAAGAGACTCTAAAAAAAGAGTGGCAGAGTCAAGGGTCTTCAACACATCGACACAGTATTTTTGTTGTACTTTCACTGCGGTGTTCTGCATAGCTCTCAATCCAACGGGGCAGAGACAAAGGAAGGAGGGGGAGCCATCAGAGCTCAGGGTCTTAGGAATGACGCCCGAGGGACACTGACAGCATTTTGTGGCATCTCAGACCACCTGTGGAAAATGTCATATTTAGATTTCTCAACACAGTTCCTTAAATCACTCACATGTTTAGCCAGCTCTGCCATGTCCGTGTGACGCTCTCCGCGGGATCGCTGAGGAGTCTGATCAGGAGGGGAAGAGGACAAACTGTAGGCACCAACAGAGGAAGGAGAGACGAACTTGCCGTGCGGACCCCGGAGAGGTGAGGACCTCTCCCGTCGTGGTGTGGACCAATCGCTGATGGGTGAGGGTCCGGGGTAGGAGGAGGAGGAGGTGGAGGGTGAGACGGGAGATGAATTCACGGTGACCCTGTCCGCGATCCACTGCCGCACCTAAAGGCCAGAGGAGGAGGATGAAGAGGACATAAACTGATGAAGGGGAAAGCAGTGCTATTAACTAAGATAAAAGCCACATGCATGAATTAGGTTAGAGCGAGTGTTTAAGAAGCAAATGCTGACATGCTCCAGAATCAGGTGGCTCTTCTGTCAGCTTTCCTCTCATGCACAATTGCAATCATAATATAGCTGAAGTGAAGGAAAAGCCCTCTTAAGTCAAACTACTCCACGTCATTAACAGTGACAGTGCCCGACTAGGATGTGCTTGTGAATGTCCTGGTAAAGGGAGCCTATCTGGGTGTCTCTCCACCACCACTTACCTTAAGGAACAGTGCCTTTCTGTCTGTCCTGCTCTGTCCATGCTGGAAAACACACATGGCTTAGCATGCGGCCAACTTAAAGAAATAAAATCACTAAGTAATAAACAAATAAAACTGTTCACACCAGTTACATCAAATATGGGCTACATGCAGAAAGATGGGTAGAATAGTAGACCGGTGACAGTAAAAACATGCCAGCATACCTGATGAAACATAGAAGCATATAATCACATGGTGGGTATATCACTGTGTAATAGCAAATATCACTTTTGCTTTCAGCCAAGATGAATTCTCTTTTTAAGTTCAGTGCTGATTTTACCACTCACTAAATTATTTCTTACACTCAAGCACAAGCACACAGCTACAGTGTGGCACATCAGCACAGCCTAACAATGTTTTATTTGTTACGCAAATGAAAACTGACCAATTCTTTAGCTCCTGTGAGGAGGCGCTTTAGTGTGGCATTTAATATATCGTTCAGATTAGAAAGTAAGATCAACTTTGCCCAAAGGTTGAGGGGAGAGACAGCGAGGAACAGCTAGTAAAAACATTTTAGTGTCATCTTAATCAGAGTTGACAAGACGCCCTGGTACAGATTTTACATTTATCAACACTAGATCATCACTACCATACCACTACTATCAACACCACGCTTCATCTCTGCGCGTTTAATGGAGCCGCTATATCTGCTATGAGCTGCTAAAATGATTCAATGATTCACTATGTCATGTTCTTTAGCTTTACTTCTCATGATGCTTAGACCAATTTTCAAATCCATATCTATTGTTTTCCCGCCTCTGGAGCCACAATGCTGCCAAAACTTTCTTCCCTCTTTCTGTCCCACTCTATAGCTCTCTCAGTTTTGGATAAAAATCAATTAATAAACAGATATCCCACATTCTTCATTGAAAATACCTTGTGTGACGAGCTGGGAGTGGTTATTTCGCTTTCTGTTTTGTCAGCGTCGGGTTCGTCGTCGCTGCCTTCCTCTGGACTGCTAACCTGTCCTGAAGTGACTTCCTGAGCCTCCGTTTCTCCCGCGGGCTCATCCTGCTCCATGTCCTCACTCTCGTCCTCCGCGTAGAGGGAGTCAGGTTGGCTGGTGGGGTTATTGGGACTGGTGGATGTTGCACTGTCCCCTTCCACAGACGTTGTGAGCACGTGAAGGGTGTCAGGGGTTGTAGGTGGGGTGGCGTTGGTGGGTGCGACAACATCTTGGGACACGGCTTCACTTGCTGAAGTTTTAGTAACGGTTAAGGCCTCTTTATCAGATTTACTTGTGGGGGTGACAGACGCAGGTGTGATGTTACCGCTCATCGTAGGCTGCTGCACCTTTACAGGCACCGCCGCCGTCACTGAATTTTTACTGACGGAGCACTGCACCTGATCTTTCTGGCTGCTAAGAGCCACAGACGCACATAAAGAGTCTGCTGCTGAGACAGTTTGGGGAAGGCACTCCTCAGACATTGTGCCAGGCCAAGAGCTGTGGGCATTGGCCAGCTTGCCGGCCGCATTCTGTTGCTTGGACACCTGTGCCAAATGGGAGGGTGGGTGTTTCAGGGGAGGAGTTTCTCCCGGTTTGAGAAGGAGCAGCTTTGGATTTATAATACTAGAGGAAAGAGTGGTGCGGAAAGCGCCTGGGTTGGTTTCTGTGGGCACGGCAACATTCTGAATATTCTGGGATGGAGTCTCTGTCAAAGCGGGGGTTTCTTTGGTCCCTTCAAGTGAAGAAACACAGGCCTCAGGCTTTGTGGCACTTACAACAGTGACTCCTGGGGTCTGAATTAGGGAGGGCTGTTTTTCTACATGAGAAACGTGCACTGAAACAACATCGGACAATTGCATCCCTATGTCCTCGCCAGTTACCACTGGGGATATGAGAGATAATGAACCAGCTGTTGCTTCTGCTTCCTGTTTTTGGGGAGCTGTTTGAATTACAAAAGAATCACTCACCTCTGTTTGGTCTGAGACTGCTGCACTGACCTGTGAACAAGTTGTCACAATTTGTGCACTGGCGCCTGTCTCTTCAACAGTGAATGAGTCAGATGTAACAGCAGCTACTTCAACTAAACAAACCTCACTCGAGTTTGCCACTTGAACAGCTTGGTTAGCGTCTAATACCAAATGCTGTCCGACAGCAGCTACCCTCGTGTTCTGTATGGATAAATTATGAGAAGTATTGTTAGCTTGCATTTCATTTGCATCCTGTGATGAAGGCAAGGGCTGCTGGGAAATGATGACAGTGTCGCTTTCACTTATTGTGTGAATAGATGGTCCAAGGTGCAGTTCTAGGTCCTGTTTGACAGTATACTCATCAGAATTTTCTAGTAACGCGTTGAATAGGTTCACCTCGTATCCCGGAGAGTGAGGCATCTGTGCACTACTAGTGGCACACACCGTTTCCTCAGCAACCTCCTCCACCAGGCCGCAAAACTCGTACACCTCCACCGGTTGTGAGACTAACTCCATATCTGACTGAACCCGCTCTTCGTACAGCTTTGGTTCTCCAGTAGAAAGTTCGTTAACGATGGCAGCTTCACAGACGCTACCGTCCTCTCGTTGTAGCAGGTAACTCTGATTCAGGTGCATGCCGGACCACTCCTCGCTGATGTGAGCCTCCTCCCTGACAACCACGATTTCTTGAGCCTCTGCAAGTTCAGCAACCAGCGACGTTTCTGTTGTGGTGAGTTGATCGGAGGGATGAGATGTTTCAACCACCTGCCCCGCCTGCAGTGAGACAACTATGCCTGTGTCAAACAGAGGAGGAGCAGCGCAGGGTTTTGGGGAACTCTGCTGCGTGGAAGAGCACTCTGGCAGCATTGTGAAGTCAGATGAGGAGGCGTCAGTTTGTTCTTCCCTTGTGCTACTCTCCACCTGCTCTCCTTCGAGGCGATCACAGCTCCTCTGGATGTCGCCAGCTGTGTCGCTGGACGCTGAGCTTTCGTTTCCAAAAGTGTATAATCCGTGAAGTGTTTCTCTTGCCTTTGTGGTCTCAAGTATTTCAGCTGGGGGAGGTTGTGTTTCTCTGTGAGAAGTTTCAACAAGCACTTTAACATCCTCAAATGTCTCAACTGACTCCAAAGAATTTGCTGTCTGAGATTCTCTGGCATCATTTGAGATCTCCTTGATGATGTTAGGCTGTGTTTGTGACAGGTCAGTTTGTTTAATCTCACTACTGTCAGAGGAGGGTACGGGGAGCGGAGATGATTTTGAGTCCTGGTGACCACCTGCTTGCCACGCAGCACCTGACGGAGGTATATGGCTGCCTTGATTTGCGTGGACAAGAGAGTCCCTGTCAGACTGCTCCACAACCCCATGTTCTGTGCTGTCTTGGAGTTCAAAATCAACACCTGATTGTGGGACAGGAGATGAGGTTGTGAAACAGATTTGAGATGGGGGTTGTGGGAAAATATTTTCGCCTCTCTGCTCTTTTTCAGCAAGTTCCATGTTCGTTTCAGTTTCTGGTTTATATTCCAAACTGACGGACTGTTTCTCCTTTGTCCCCGCAATAACCACAAGTCCAGCACCTTCTGCAAGTGGCTGAATCTCGTTCGTCTCACTGTTTGAGTGCCTTTTCTCTTTATCAGTTTGTGACCCGTATTGCAACTTTTGCACTGTGCTGTCGATCTGTGTATCTGAGGAGAGAGGAGGACAAAGGGGAGCTGGAAGCCTTTGCATCTCAGCAGAGGAACTACAGTCCTCGGTGAGGGATGTTGGCGAGGATCTCGCAACTCCAACAACTTCGGAAACGCTCTCCTCAGCTGGGACTTCTTCTGAGACACTGTCCTTAGAGTTGCTTCTGATCGGGAGAGTCTCAGGCAACGATGTTGGAGGGTCGTTCTCCATGCCGAGGAATGCTGAGTCGTTGCTCTCCGGCAATGGCACAGTGGACGGATTGGTGAACGGAGGGACTGGGCGGGGGGCAGCTGCGACCGGCTGCGGGGCATGCCGAGGTGACTCCCCAGCCACATTCTGTGCAGCCTGGGGGTTGCCACCCAGCAAATCCACAGCCGGAGAGGCACGCTGCCGCACCGCCTCCTCCCCAGAGCTTCCTTCCTCTGTGATGCCCCGGCTACACACTGCACCTGCAGGTGAAACATGTTGTTAACAAAGTGTCTGGACAAAGTGGGTAATTTATTGAAACACTAAAAACGAACAGGGACATGAAAAAGTAACTCAGCACAAATAAATAAATCTTTAGGAGGAAAGGTGGGTAGTCACAGTGATGTTGCTGTATGCTTTTTTGTTTCTTTTTTAATTCATATACAGGACATTGTATTCTCCTCACCGCCTACCAGCCATCGACTCACTGTCTTACAAAAGACATGGAGGCACAGCACACATCTAGTTCTAGGTCAACATCATTTTTATAGCAAATACTCAACTTAAAGTTAAAGAAAAAAAATAAGCAAGTCATCACCAAACATTGGACATAATGTTACATTCAGAACTGACCAGACACATGTGCAAAGCAAAAACTTCTCACCTGTCTGTGGTGTGAGACACAGATCTTCTGTGCTTTCTACTTCCAGGATGCTGAAATTAGGGTCCCCTCCACATATTCTGAGGGAGAGAAAAAAAGAACAGAATGGTAACTTCATTATTGAAATCAAGTGAGCTATTTAAGTACTGAACTTGCCACAATACAAAACTATGCAGTTTTGGAACGAAACTAAGTACATTTACTAAAGTACTGAATTTAAGTACTTTTACTTTGTAATTTCTTTTCATGCCACTGCATTTTGCAAGGAAATACTGTACTTTTAATGACAGCTTTAGTTACAAGTTGTTTTGCAAATAAAGATTTTGCTAACAAACCCCATGAATTTATTATAAAATGTGATGCTTTGTTATAAATATATATAAATATTTCAAATTACAGACAAAACAAAGCATTGGGACATATCACTTTAGGCTCAAGATAATTGTCACCATTTTCAGAACTTTTACAAAACAAGCAATTCATCAATTAATCAAGAAAATGATTGGGAGATTAATTCATAATGAAAACAATGATTTGTTGCAGTCCTTTGCAAAATAGTTATTACCTCCACCTCAACCAACTACAATAATGAAGTCCTGTGCATGTGTAATCATAATCTCATAATATATAACAGTCACAGGGGGGATTTTTCTGCATTGAGTACTTTTACTTTTAATGCCTCAAGTTTATTTCCCAGATTATATTTACATACTTCTACTCAAGTAAGGGATTTGAATACTTCATCCAATGCTGCAGTTACGAGGATAATAACAGTGACTTTCACAATAAAGGATTTAAAGCTAGAATGAATTTAATTAGATATGCAATTAGTAAACAAATATATTACAATGTGTAGGACGATGAGTAGCATGTCACGTCACGAGATAAGAAGCAGCAACAGCAACACTCAGGGAGCTAGGCTAGTCAACTTGTGCTAGGACTGTAGCTGGTGTATGTGGCCGTGTTTGAGTGGGTTATCTTGCAGCAGTAATAAAAAATTACTCCATGAAGCTGCATTAAACGGTAGCCAGCTCCAAGTTGCATTTGCTGCAGTCGCCCACAGGAAGGTGTTAGGAATTCTGCAACATGCGCTCTCAAGCTAAAAGCCGGTGACCAAACGCGCGGGCCTCCAGTCATTCATTTTATGTTCTCGTAAATGTACATTTTATTCATTGTAGCTGGTGGTAGCCTTCTTGGACTTGTGGGTAATTGTCTACCTTGAGAAAATAAATCTTTCTGCAGTAGTCATGTGTGCAGCGGCTGCGTGGATGAAAAGATGAAATATGAATCGACTTTTCATTCCTACCAGAGTGGTAATTGGATCGTTTTTTAATAAAAGCCACACAGTTAACTGGTTAACGTTAACGCCTAACGTTACCGGTGTTACGTCGAAGTCTGTTTCCCCCTTGAATAGTGTCCCCTGAACCGTTGCCCTGTGTGGTTAGGGTTACGTTAGATTAGGTTATTGGTTAGGCGCCGGACAGGTAACTGTTTCAGGATTAGGGTAAGGTTGTCTTGAGGTTATAAGCATCGCAAAAAGCGACTCGGTAGAGACAGGGATAAACCAAGGTTTAGGTTGTGGTAAAGGGGAAAAACTAATCGATGAGGGAACGTATTTCAACACAACACCGGTTTGGCTAGTGTGGTTAGCTAGCTAACGTTAGCTCCCACAATAACACTGCTTGGGTGGCACTGCTGCTAACTAGCAAGCTGGAAGAGTTAGTAGTAGGGTGCGTTCATTTGATGCGCAAGCGCCACATCCCACCCGCAGTTATGTAATGCTCCGGCTTGTAAAGGAGCCTGTATATTTATGCCGACACATTTGCCAAGTTACTTCACAGGGAGACAAAAACACCCGAAAAGTTGCATTAAAACCCGCTTCTGCATGCACTACAGAGGGGGACAATCACTCGTGACGTCATTGCGTGGGGTCAAATCTCTTTTAACGAAAATAAATTAGTTTAAAAATATTAAAATACAAGCCCTAACAACTATTAATTTCTATCCAAATATACAAAAAGGCAATTAAACAATGTTCCAAAGTTCCATATAAATTTTGCAATGATTACACGGGGGATTTAGGGGGACCCGCACTGTCCCACCAAGACTGGCTCTTTAGAAGCGACTGCAAGGAAATGGTACTTTAATCGCAATTTATTTCGCTAAACGCAGTTTAAATTGTTGTTGTGAACTTCTATTTCGCCGCCCTGTCTTGGTTCAGTGTAGTGTCTACAAATTGCAATACAGTCCATTCAAAATATACCACCAAGTGAAATGCAGTCTGATTGTGTCCCGCCGTCCGTCTGAGCCCCCCTCAAGTACCCCCGTTACTTCCTCCTTGCCCCCCTCCCTCTCAAGGCCGCCATCTTAAGTTCCCACCTACCTGAAATTTCCGACCAATTTTCTTTTACTAAATTCTCGTTGAAGGAGTCGTCATCCACGTAAAATCGCACTCAATCCGTAATGCCAATAATCCAAACTTTCTCCCGGTACCCAACGAGGTACCACTAGGTCTGTGGGAAGAAGTTAAAATACGGACCGGGAGAGACTGGGTTTCGGCGCAGAATGTAGCGGTCGCGGGGAGGAGACTTTACGCAGCGAAATGGTGGAGGATCGCTGCTGCTGACAAAGTACTGAACACCGGGAAATCTCGCGAGATATGGACAAGCGCGCCACTTGAAATTTTGATATTTCTGACTATTTGTACGTTATTTACCGACCTTTGTTAGCGTAAAACTATGAATAAGTAATATTTTTCTTCTTTGTCACAGGCACAATAAAGGCCAACAATAAAATATTGTAATTGTAATCATCTTATTTCCACTTTTAGATTAACATTTTTTAAATCGCTCGAATTATTTTAACATGATTGTTTACAAGTCATGTCTTTACGCGTCATTCTGTACCAGATATATCAGTAGTTTTTGTAGTCATTTCGTTTGATCATTGAGTGACTAAGAGATGGTGATTCATCTAGGTATAAGTTATGTTGTGTTTTATGTTCAAAGGACCTGAACATTTGAGGCATTATGATATGTAAACCTCTTTATTGTAGGTAAAACCCATGGTGAATAGGTATAATACTTTTTTTAATTCCATGTCAGGATATAGACCTGAAACATTAGTTGATTAATTATCAACAGAAAATTCACTATTATGATAATAAATCACTTTTATTAATAATTTAATAATAAGATTTTTTTTTTTAAAGCAAAAATGGCAGACATTTGCTGGTTCCAGATTCTCAGATGTGAGGATTTAAGGCTTTTCCTTTCCATACAAGACAGTAAATGAATATCTTTGTGTTTTGGACTGTTGGTCAGATAACTCAAGATGCCATTTTGTCATTTTAATGAAGCCACAAATTATGCTTTTGGACAAATTTAGGATCAAAGGATCTGGACATTAGATTATGTAAAACCTCCTTATTCTTAATAAAACCCAGGGGAAGTAAGTGGAATATTTCCTGTTCATTTCCTTTAAAATGTATGACTTGGAGCTAAAACAATAGTCAATTTCAAATTTGATTAGTCAATCATAGAAAATTTAATTATCTATTTTAATAATAGATTCATTACCTCAGCCATTTTTAAAGCAAAATGACAAACATTTGCTGGTTCCAGCTTCTCTTCTTATTCTTTTGTCCTACATGATAGTAAACTGAATGTCTTCAGTTAGTCAGATAAAACATGCAATTTTACACCATCAACTTGGGCTCAAGGACACTCTAAGTGGCATTTTCACTATTTTCTCACACTTTACAGATCACATTAATGATAAATCAAAATAATTTTCAGGTTAATCAATCATAAAAAAAATAAAAATAAATAAATTGTAGCCCTAGTAGGATTGTTACGGTAACAGTTGCTTCAGATTTTCTTTGTGGTCTGTTTGGATAATGGATACTTACTTCATCCCAAGGGGAAATTCAAGTGTCAATGATAATCTGTCACACTGTGTAAAAGGAAGCAGCTCAACTGAGATATTAAGTATAAAATATCACATTTAATAAAGCTAAAACAAAATGAATGGCCATTTTTAAAAATAAAAACCCCCAAATTCCACGGCCATAGCTCCTAAAATGTAAAATATGCTTGTTTTCATACTCTTCTCTGATATATTTGGCCTTTGGATTCTAAATATGTCAACTGGACTCTAAGAAATTGTGACAGACATTTTCCCTTTTGATTTAAAAAAAAAAAAAAAAAAAAAAGAAAAAAGAAAAATACAATCTATACACCAAACAGTTAATGGAATAACTGATCAGCAGATTAACCCATAAGAAAAATATTTGTTAGTTGCTTTTAAAGATTCAGAACAAAAGACCCACACAACAGAGTAAACAACAATTCATTTAATAATTAATCTTTGTGGTCTCTAGGGGAGGGGTTTGAAAGGTATAAAATGGTCATATTAAAATAATCGACCCAGTCTTTTCCCTCTCAGGATACCCACTGTCTAGTTGTCTTTTGACACAAGTCCTTTTATTTTTTTTTTCAGTTCTTCAGCAGATGTCCCACTTATCCATGTATATAACTTATTTTTGTTGATGAAACAACTCGACAGTTCAATGTACAAGGCTCCCATAGTCCCAAATGGATATAGCACACAACCAGTGACACACAGGCAAACCTCCCTCTCAGCATAATAAAGTCACAGATGAGATCCTTGAAGAGGCCAGAGGTTGCAATCGATAAGGCTTAATGTTCACAAGCATTAAAAAGTTTTCTGTGAAGCAAGCCTTCTGCTTTGTCTTTTGCATGATTTGAAACATATTACTACCTGGGGAGAGAGTACTGGTTGATACCCGAAACAATGACAAATAACATAACAGTGAATATATTTATTATTATAGAAGATAATTAATGTTAAGAATAATAATTACAAAGGCAATTTCTCTAGACTACTATAATCTGGTCCTGCTCGTATAGTCAAGAGGAGACTGGGAAACAGTTACAGGAAGCTCTAAAATACTGTGTTCACTCACACAGTGTAGCACAGTTCATTTTGCCATTCATCCTTTGAAAACAAAAAACAAGCCAAAAAAGGTTGAATCTCATTATCAGTGAAGCTGAGGGTTTGGGGTTAGATTTTTGGGTAAAGCAGGAAACTGAGGTACGATGCTTACTGATCTTCATTAAATGGTCTCATCAGTAATCTGTCTTTTCACAATGACAAAAAGACACAAAGACAGAACAGAAAGCACCACTTTACGACTGTATTTCTAAAAACCCTCATCCACAATACCCAATATCAGGCTTGATTTATGTAGAGGAGGGCTTTACAATATCCCATGAGTTAACCAAGCTGAGGATGAACCCTTGACTTGTTCTCAAAGCG